GCATTGTCATCAGGAAAAGAAATGGGACTTCTCCAAACTGTTTACATTGTTTAACCCTTTTCGGGGACAGCGGTTACTACAGTGGGCAGCTTATCATGTTATCAGGATACAGGTTATCATTATTGGTGCATGAAAGGGTTGACTTTAGTTGTTGACCAGCGTAATTGACCAGGGTGTTCAACCCAAGCTTTAATTAACAGATATCGGGTCAATGTCCAAAGACTCATGAAGACTTGTGAAAATTTGACTTTCAGGTGAAATGGCAGGATGGGCCTCAAATGTACCAGACACTTTAGTGGTGAACTTAATTTGTCGTTGTCTAAACCTTTGAATGCACAAATCCATATGATCAATGTTTTACTTTTCTCATGACTTGCTGTCACAAGAGCAACAGCTGATTGATCCATGAATGGACCAGTGCATTTCCTGGCTCGATTATTATTTACAGTTGACATCATGAGACCAAGGCAAGGGCTGGCAATTGATCGACAGTACCTCGCCATCGGGAGGCTTCAAACAAGATGTTCCCAGAGGGAAGTGGCTGCTTAACTTAAAGCGGCACAGAGTGTCCTTCGCAGATTGTTACAGAAATACAGTGAGACTAAAATAGTCACAGAAAGGCACAGAAGTGAACATCCTTCAAAATGTATTATCCCATACGTGGATCAAAATATCTGGTGCAAATTTTGCCATTGAGATCCTTAGAAAACACCCAAAAGTACTGCAACATGAAAGAGTTGGACAATTAAAAATTAATCAAAGTTCATCTCTAATGATTGCAGTGCATTTTAGGTGTATCCTGAAATTGAACCCGAAACCTTAATACCATCCATCCATTTTCCAATCCGCTTATCCTCACAAGGGCCGCGGGGCATGCTGGAGCCTATCTCAGCCATCTTCGGGCAGTTGGCGGGGGACACCCTGAACCGGTTGCCAGCCAATCGCAGGGCACACAGAGACGAACAACTGTCCACGCTCACACTCACACCTAGGGACAATTTGGAGTGTTCAATCAGCATGTTTTTGGAATGTGGGAGGAAACCGGAGTACCCGGAGAAAACCCACGGAGGCCCGGGGAACATGCAAAGTCCACAGAAGGAGGCCGGAGCTGGAATTGAACCCGGTACCTCTGCACTGTGAGGTCGACGCGCTAACCACTGGACCACCGGGCCACCCAGCTCAATACCTTAACTTCTTAATAGAAATGAACCTGTCGTTCACTGCATCTGCTCCCGAATGTTTGTCGAAAGCTGTTTTGAAGAACAGAGGAGAGCCCCTCCATGCTAAAACGCTGAGGACAAAAGAAAGAGCAAAGACAGGATTGAAGCAACATAGATGCCGTGACGACAGACTAACAAAAAGCAAGTAGGCCACGAATAATAAACTCACTGATCCGAGCGACTTTGCCGCATGGCCGTGCGACTTTCCCGTCGCCCCTTGAAACTGCTGATGCTTCTTCTTCTTATTCTTCTTCAGCGCCTCGCGGTGCTCCTTCTGTCGGTTTTGCACGTCAATAAGCGCAGAGATGAAAGTGTTCTTCACCTCCTTCTCGAAGTCCAGCTCGTCCCTGAGAGCCAAATGCTGCACCAGCTCCTCCGAGAGCCTCGTGACGGCGCTCTCCGTCTCCTCCACACGCTCGTTCAGTTCCGCCACGTTCAGTCTTCGAAGTCCTACGCCCATACACTTGTTACGGGTGCGGTGAAACAATGACAACCGACTTTTCTCGAAGTATGGTCCCACTATTCCAGCAGGATGGCTCTTCAATATATACATTAATGTATTATTGATTGCCGACATACGCGCACCTAATTACATTGAAGTCGATGATTTGCCCGTGTGCCACCGCCACGTTGGCCTCGCTCTCTACATGCCCCAAAGTGCATGTGCAATGGTATATGACAGTAATTGAATGTACAATATCAACTTATTCGAAGTGGTGTTTGGAAAGACTAGCAAGATGACTTCTTTTTTTTTTTAATTGTGTTTTTTACATTTATATTGCACTTATATTGAACTGTGTACAGTTCTTTTCTGAAACATTTATTTTGTGCAATGAAACACTTTATCCCCCCCAATTTTGCTGCTGTAGACTGCAAATTTCCCCAATGTGGGACAAATAAAGGTTATCTTATCTTATCTTAAATTGATTAATTACAGGTAAATAACTGCTATATTCCTGTAAGAAATATTACGGGACTGTTGAAAATAATTTACATTTCTCAGTGGGCCGAATTAAGAAACGGCGTAGATGGCATGAGACTACTGGACTCATCTTGCTTGTTGAATCCATAAGGTTTACTGAATTTGCTTCTGAAATTTAAGTGCGCTGTCCTCCGATTGACATGTGTTTGTAGTGGGTGCGTCTCCTGAAAGTGGTCACATGTGGGGTGTTGTTTCAATTCAACATGAAATACCTTCAACAACCAAGAAGAGTCCAGTTGCTTCAATTCAACTTTTGGGGATTCACATCACCTTGATGACTGAGAATCTACACATACGTGAAGTCTGGTGTAGCGCCACACTCACTTTCTTCGAAACTTGGACTTCTTCTGGGGCGCTGTACATCCAGAGAGAGCGTGGACAGGTCAGGCTGTGAAGGATTGTGCTCTGCTACGGATTCGGAAGAGTCCTGCATCATCTCCTCAATCTCCTCAATCACCTACACAGTGAATCAACACACACATCAGGCCTGTAATTATCCCAGTAAGAATCATCTCTAAATCCCTCCGTAGCTGTCTTAAGCTGCAGCATCATCTGCATTTAAAAAGCTTTTATGCGCCACTCACCTGCTCGGCTGTGAAAAGAGGTTCCTCGCCGAGACACGGGACGATGATGGCGTGCATGTCTAGCTGTTCCCTCAGCTCCTCGACTTCAGACACATCTGCCGCGATGTCACTCGTCTGACTCTAAGTAGACGCCGCAACAGGGGGGCAAAGGATTTGATCATCCGTGGCTCGAAGCATGTCTGATATTTGTCAGATGAATGGAGGAGAGATTTGGCGGGTGGTAAAAGTGGGACACTGTGAGAGGGAGGGAGGGACGTGTGGAGGGCAGAGTCACTGACCACATTCTCCTCTGGGTTGAATGCGGGCATGTGGATAGAACGTGTTCGGGATTGTTTCCTATCCATCTCCGTCACCTGCCCGTAGCTTTTGGTTGAAGCATTCCAGATCCTGTTGTTACATGAAAAGGAGCATCAGATGCTTGTGTTGGCTCCAATTAATGAAGCCGTAGCTTCACTTTTTGATTCTCTTATTGTCCACACCTTCATCAAAAATACAATAACTCTTGAAGCGGCACTTGATGTTGTTCAGTTTCTTTCAAAAATTCAAACAATAGTAATAAAAACATTATTTCAGGATGACAAAAATAAAGAATGAGGAAAATAAAGAGAAAGAGATCAGACACACTTACTAAATATTATAAATAACTATTATAAATAACATTAGTATCAATCACTATAGTATCAAAATAAATTTACATATTATGTATGTGGGGTGTCCTGTAGTAATTGGAAACCAGTCGGAGGTGAACCCGCCTCTCGCCCAGTCTGCTGGGATAGTTCCCGCTTAATCGACGACCCTAAAGCGGACAAGCAGTATAAAAAGACGGACGGATTTTGTCATTGCATTGGGCAATGATGTGTGACTGATTGTTTGATTGGTTTTTAGAAGAGATGATTTGAAAATGGTAACACTGGCAGAGATTCATTGAAATGAAGTGTTGCATATTGATATTCGTCTCTTTTCTAATTACTGTTGTGAGAAATCATGAACACGAGCCGTATCTTCACATACATTGAAATCACTAATCATTAATAATAATAATAATAATATACAACAAAAATTTCAAAGGGAATTGGTGCAAATTAGTTGTTTCAGAAGTAAGTATCAAAATGGTAGCCCTTTGGATTAATCAGTAACCAAGAAGTAGTTCTCAGTTTCAAAAAGGTTGGTGATCCCTTGTATTCATCATAAAGAAACATATAGCGGGTTCTCTGCTTACTATGGCCCCTACATACGAACGGTGTGCTGCAAAACTCCGCGTTGAGTGTTTTTCCTCAATCTGATTAATGGGCTAAAAGTGTTTTTCATAGAAAGTACTAATCGTTTTACAACTACGCTGGCGTGGGCCTACGTACAAATACGTCCCGTCGTTAACACCGTCGTAGACCGTTATAATTCTTTTTTGTTTTTTTAGAAATAGCTAAATGTTAGGGAAGATAGTTGAAATTATTGAAAGTAGTAGCATAACTAATGACGTAATTTTGAGCGTGCCATTAAGTCAAAATACATCCTCAAAATGATGACAAATGATACAGGGCAACAACACTACTCACTCGTCTTCCTGCAGAAACTTGTCCTCGGTGATCACCATCACCGCGTCGCTGTTACCCGCCGTGGAGCTCCAATCCCCGAAGCACAAAGACAGAATCCCGTTGAAATCGCCCACCGGGTCCTCCGTGGACGTAGTAGCGCTGAATTCCCCTTGGGAATCTCGGGATCTCCCCTCATCACCATTGCCGTCGACAGCATCCAGGATGTGGGTCTCTGCGGTGGCCAGAGTTCCTTTCAGCGGCCGATCTGCACACAAATTCGGACATCCATCGTCCGGACGAACGGTTGGCGCCTCCATAGCCCCCCCGGAGAGCCTACTGGCTCTGGCTGGGTGGTGAGGGATGTGTGGGGCTGACAATCCGTAGCATCTCCACTCTTCTTCTCTTCAAACCGGCAGGGAGGCCGCCAGGCAGCCTTCCTGCAGCGGGGATCAGGCAGCCCGTAGCCGACTAGTGGCCGCTTCACGCCGCGCAAGCTGACTGCCAAACACAACACTTATCAATACAGTACTTCATCATGGGCGCTGCTCACGGCCCACCAACGTTTGAAGCTCTCTATTGTTGTTTACAAATTTCCAAACGATGCAAAGTGATGGATGAACCAACATTTACTGCAATTCAATAAAATACAAGCAAACAAGCATTCCCCCGAATGACAAGAGGCGACAGCAAACTGTCCTATTTTCTTTATATTCAGATATATTATTCACTATGACATCCATACTTTCAACGATTCAAAAATGTTCCAAATGTTCAGAGGACCGTTTTTTCAATAGCTATCTACAGTACGTACAGTAGATAAAAAAGGTTGAGGAATTGACTGAACGTAAATGATCAATGCGAACCAACCGTATCTTAAAGTTACACACCAAAACATTTGTCTTACTATCATGAAATAAAAAAACACAGGCGTATCACTTAGATGTTTATGATACATTGCAGTATCAAGCAAGGCAAGGAAATTTTTCACCCAAGGACAAATGAATGTGAACGATCTACACCTTGCTCATGTTGAAGACACACTGCATGCGCGAGGACATACAAACAAAAGTTCAACAGGATCCCGATGGGAAACAACTGATTTGTGTCTTTGTGGAAAACAGGAGGTCAGACTAATGGCCTTAAAAGTGCTGAAGCTTGTTAAAGGTTGGAAAGCATCATCTCACTCCAGGTTTCATGTCTGATGCTTTCAGATTTCTCTTCCAAACTGGTGGAATCTATCCAAAAAAAAATCACAAACGATCGAAATCAGTTTCATCAGGCATTTTTAAGTACCGTATTCAAGTCATACACATGGGTGAAAAGTGTGTATGAATCTTACTGGTGGCAGTAATGCAGGCTCTAGATGTCGTCCCAGAAATGAAAGCAGTCGCCTCCAAATCAGACCGCTGCCAAGAAACATGAATCCTGTAACCAGCCAAAAAACACGAGGGTCCTGGAACATAGAAAAATGTGTCAATAAATATTAGTTTTGAGTTGTTTTAGATTGGGGTGAGGAACTTTCTGCCCAGAGGTCACATATGGCTGGCCACACCCTTCTAAAATCAAACCTCACAAAATTTTACAGCACCCCAAAACGTTCACAAATATTCATAATAATCAACATTTGTTGGACTCTTGCATCATATTTTGGAAAAGAGCCTTTTGGCACAAAGTTTCTAAGATCTCTTGGAGGACTTAATGGAGGTCGCAACATATCAATGATCCAAACACATGATGGCAAAAGAAGGCCAAAGAGGCAATCTGACCTCTTCAAAAGACGACTCCAAATTCATTCCGAAGGCCACCCCGATGAGACCAAATAAGGAGAGTGAGAAGGTCCCCATGGTCAGTTGCAGGTTCAAACGCATCATCACATTTCGATGGCTGGAACAGACAGCAATTGCCTTTCAGTTGAATTGGACCGGATTCTGTCAAAGATGCTTCAAAGAGCATTTAGGGACACGAATGCACAACCTGTCCAGATTGATAAAGATGACACTCTCCGAGTCATCAATCAGGCCTTTCAGCTCCCTGGCCTTGTTGCCCAGCTCCTCAGCCTGCATGGGCCAGTGTGACAACACAAGCGCAAGGTAAGAACAAAGCTAGCCTCAAATCCACGTAATGGATTTATTACTGTGGCTGAAGCTAAACACCATTACCTGCATGTAGTAATTATCCAATAAAAGTTCCATCTCCTCTGCATGGTCAATCCCCAAACTGCTCTCCTCACTAGAAAGACAAAAATCAACTGTAAAAAAAAAAAAAAGCTCATGTCAGAATAACGTTTACCTGTCCATAGAAGGAGATGATCAACATAGATATGTAACACTCAGGAAGTTAGGACGAAATTAGGCTACAAATGTAAAATCACAGAAACTTGGACACATGTTGAGTTTAAGGTACATTTTCTGACTGGAAATGACAAGAAAATGTTTTAGAAATATTCATGCTAAATCATTTGCCATTTCCCATAAATTGTTACATTTGGAAAATGACATCCTGTTCTTGAGAACAATTGTACATGTACTGGTGCACCTGACTTACAAAACTCTGGGGTCTGTCCACTTGGTGAGGCAGAGCTCTTCAATGATCTCGTCCTCATCCAAAATCTTAAGCAGGGAATCTTTAAAAACTTTAATGTCAGTCTCCAACTCGGACAAACTGTTCAATAAACAAAGAGAGACAAATGACAAAATGGTGTTCATTAAATCCACTTGAAATGGTGAACTTTGAAATTGATGCATGGTTGATGTCATTGATGTCAAGACTAAAACTTCGAAAAATCATGAAATAAAGAAAACCAAATCAACACATCTTGACAAATTCTATCGCTGTGAATCGCTAACACTCTTTCAGCGCTGCTCACATTAGTTTCACTTCATGTGTCAGGTTACCTCTTACTGTTCTGCAGCAGTATGTGCAGTTTACTTCGATCAGCAGACAGGATTTTCGGATCCACCAGAGATTCCAAAATGTCCAATATTACTGGTTCAACTTCGTTCAGCCGGGTTTGTAAATTGTTTACCTGTTGATGGAAGCCTGCTTGATTGAGCCTTAGCTTGTCACAAAGTTCAAAGCAGGCTCAAAGACCAAGTCATTGCCCTCACCCTGTGCTGTAGGATGGCTTCCAGAGCTCTGAACTCAAAAGGCAGCGAGTGCGTCTGCGAGGCCAGCTGCGGGGCAAGCTCCAGCACGAGCCAGCGCTCCAATCCCAGCCCACGGAAATCCAACACCAAAAGGCAATGGGGAGTCACGATGGCTTTTAATGACTGTGGAGACACAAGCCGGGGGTACATTGAGATGCCATCTGAACAAAAGTCTCCAAAGACACCTTAAATGCTTTGCTCTGACCGCCCCAAAAAACCCTGACATGTTGTTATGCTTGCAGTCATTGAGTTACAGGTCCCTTAGTCAGATCTAATCAGTAAATATTTGCGGTGAGAGGCTAACTCCATAAAAGGGGCTTGTTTAGAAATCAAGAAAGCCGGCCCATGCAAGAGATGCATGAGCCGCTGTGTCGTGCCGTAATTTTACGTTAAGCTTAGTGAAGTGCTGCCAGCTGAAGGGGCAGAAAGGGCCAAGAAAAAGTATTCAAGAACTTGAGTAAGTTATACCCACTCGGTCTATTTACAGTAAACTGCCGGTAATTGTCAATTATTTTTAAAGTAACTGGTAAATCGTTAAACAATTTACAGGAGAAATTCTGAACTTTATCCTGTCAATAATAAGATCAATATTCAAACTGTTTATGTGAAGAACCTGTTACTGCAGGATTAATTCATACAAGATACAAATCACAATGATGTGTTTCCACCGATGAGAACATTCTCTGCTCCAAGTCCAGTATTTGTCTGCAGGATGGCCGTGAAGCCAGTTTGTCTCTTCCTGTTGTTGCCTCTACTGCTGTCCGGCCAGGCTAAAAAACAAGCGTGCCTCAAGTCGGCGTCCACCTGCAGCGAGTGCATCCTGTCGGGTCCGCAGTGTGTGTGGTGCACTGACTCCGGTTTGAAAAGCCGCTGTCACACTTTGAGTGCGCTCGAGAGGGCAGGCTGTGATCCACATCACATGTATAACCCCCAGGGGCGAGTTCATGTCATCAGGAATGAAAGCACGTATGTTAAAACACTGATTTACCCTTTAACTATTCAGGCAACGGAGGCCGCAGAATAAATCCAAACATGAGACTGTATGTGCTCCATTTCATCCACAGAAGATATTATTTTAATTATTATTATTGTAGTTGAAGTTAGCCAAACCTCTGCGGTTCCATGGGAAATAAAGTAAAAATTAATTGAAATGAATTGTGGGTTGAACTGGCATCATTTAAACAGGTTATTAACTAGTGTGTCATTGTTTGAGGGATCCCATTACAATTAAACAGTCAAAGTAGTGTAAAAAAGAAATGAACCACATTTAATCAGGAATAGTTTAGCTCATTTGCGAGGATGCATGACAAGAGCGATGATTAAACATGCAGAGCTGGGGAGTAGGGGATGAAAGTCACATTTCACTTTGCACAATTTTTGTAGTTTACTTCCACTTCTTAAAATCCCCGATGAACTGTGACAGCACTGAGCCCACGGCAGAGACTGTGTTCCCGCAGCCTCAGGAGGTGACCCTCCATTTACGGCCTGGTGTGAGCCAGTCCTTCCCTCTTTCCATCACCACGGCGAGAGGCCGGCCAATCCCAGAGCTGAAAATCGACACCAGCCCTGTGCCAGCTGGAGTCAACATCACATTCAGCAACATAAGACACGGGAACATGCCGATGGAGGTCAGGATAATTAAGACTTGGGCACATAAAACAAAAGCAGGAGTCGCTTCAGCAAAATGTGCGCTCTTCTTTGCTTCTGTTTTAAGGCAATTAAGGGGTTGGCCAAAGTGAATAAACCTCATCCATCTCTCAGTGTCTTCTGGTCTAACTCCAGCAATCTGCAAGGCTGCCATCATGACATCCACAAATCTCCTCTTTGGTCTTTCTCTTTGCCTCCTACCTGACGGCTCCATTCGGAGTATCTTTCTCTGAGATAAATCCATTGTCTTTCCTCTGCAGCTTCCATATGTCCAAACCATCTCAATCTGCTCTCCTTAGCCTTCTCTCCAAACCTTCTAGTTTGTGCTCTCCATCTAAAATCATTCCTAATCTTGTCCACTGTTGTCAACTGACTCTCAAATAGAATAGCAGCATCTTCATCCAGCTCCTGGTCATTGCTATCAACTCCAAACCATACAAACCTTTTTTTAAGCTTGTGCAATGTGCTCTTCTGTCAGAAAACATTCATTATAATGAATTTCCTTCATGCCCAGGTGAATGTTGTGGCGGGCCATTGTCGTACTACAAGTGACACCATAAATCCGAAGAACAGGACAGGGCCCTGGTCTGTCCACATTACTTCAGGAAGCTTTTCACAAAGTGTCAATTTGGAGATAAATGTGGAGTGTGAGTAGTGGCAAAGTTTTTAAAAAATTGCAGTATTGCAACAGTTGAAGTGAGGCACTTTTGACTCATTTCCTCTAGGCGAGTGCGACTGCAAAAGAAACCGCGAGGAAAACAGTCCTACCTGCAACAGCCATGGAGCTCTGGTGTGTGGCTCTTGCGAGTGTTACCAACCTTACCTGGGACAATATTGCCAGATCAATCAAGAATTAAGCGATGGAAGAGATGAGAGATTCTGCCGCAGAGGACCAAATGCCCCATTGTGTAGCGGTAGGGGAACGTGCGTCGAAGGTGACTGCGTATGCCACAGTCAAGAAAACCCGAATGAACGATACAAGGGGAGGTTCTGCGAGTGCAGCAATTTTGATTGCCCATATCACAACAACAGGTATATAACCATAATAAACCCTTACTTGGTCCATTATGTTGTTAGAAAAGCTAGAAATCTCTTTAAAATATTTTATTCTCTCCGCAGGATTTGTGGGGGTCACGGTAGGTGCGAGTGTGGACAGTGCATTTGTGACAACGACTGGAGTGATGAGGACTGCAGCTGCTCAATCGATACAATTTCTTGCATGGCATCGAACCAGCAAGTGTGTAACGGTCAAGGGATGTGTCAGTGCGGAAGCTGTCGTTGTGACCCACCGTATGCGGGTCCCACTTGTGAGAATTGCCCGACTTGTTTGGGCCCTTGTCAGACTCACGCGGAGTGTGTGGACTGCCGGGCGTTCGGAACAGGACCCAAAAAAGACAGGTGAGAACTAAAAGTCTATCACCATGCGCGGGTGTGACTTTTTCTTCAGTCTGCCTGAGTGTGTAATCTGGTTCACAGGTGCGAGGCCGAGTGCAACTACTTCATTCTGACAAAGGTGGAGAGCAAAGAGGATATCCAGGCACCGTGTAAAATGATTAGCCACGAGGACTCTTGTTTCTTCTACTTCAGCATCTCCCAAACCCCCACAGGGACACACTGCACTGTGGCGGCAACGAAAGAATGTCCACAGTGGAAATGATCCACCAGGATCAAAAACTCCCTGCATTAATTTGGGGCTTCTTCAACATTGCATTATAGATCTATCGATATATTTTTCAAACATTTAATTGTGTTTCATTTATGGCAGTATGTAGCGTTAGGCTGTAATATGCACTTCTCTAGGTTATATAGAGTTGAACAAAAAATAAATAGCAAAGTGATATATAATATTATGGGTGGCTGATTTTTTTTTTTTGTGAGGAGATATTTTGTCAACAATTTAAGCATACCTCCATTCGTAGGATAATGCAGTTGTTTCTGGTTGTGAGGCTGCTACTGTGCTGAAAGCGAAGGTCCCGTGCCTGAAGACTTAGCTCCTGGCAAAGCTCGTTTTTCTTCTTCTCTACAAGCAGAGAGAGGGGAAAAAAAGCATAACAGTCAGTTAATAGGTAACAACAATGGAATTTTTGTTTGAATTTGAACACTTAGAGAACTTTGGAAACCACAGGCAAAACAAACAAAACCAAACTAGGCCACAAAGTAGAACACAAGCCAAGTGTCATATCACAGCTCAAATGACAGTTTGTTATTGTTACCTATGCTGCAATAAAAAGTACTGAAACTACAACAACAAAAATCCTACAAGGATACTGGTACACCACAAAATGAGACAGATCACAATTTGATTAGCATTTTTTTTAGCTCCATAGTACATACCCTCACTAAAAAATGCACGTTAGGTTAATTGGATATTGTAAATTGTGTGAATGTGTGATTGAATGGTTGGTTTGGTTGTGCCCTGTGGTTGGTTACATACCAGCCTGATAAAACCTGGCCTAAAATTACAAGTTCAACATAGAAAATTGGATCAAGATGGCCTACCAAGCCAGTGAGCCAACTTTGAAAATACTGGTTGATTTATCCACAAGAGTGGCACACAAAACAACCTCCATTGATGACAACAAAACAAAAACGGACCTTTTTTGTTTAACACTTACCAAATGATGTAACATTTCCCTCTTGGTCAAATCGCATCTGTGAAATAAGCGAAATAAGAGGGGATTCTGACAGAAACCAATTATTGTTTGACCGTCTGTCTACAGAAGACAGCTTACCACAACAAAAGGTGGCGGCACAGTGGAAAGAGTAGCTTCGGTCATGCTGTGGCGGACAAAGGACACTGCTAAAAGACACAGACGATATAAAAAATAAAAAAAACATTTGTGAAAGTAAAAGTGAACTGGTTTAAACACGAAGATAACTGGCTCTTTTCTAAAACACACAGGTATTGTGTTCATTTTTGAGGCACTTCTAATTGCAGATACATTTACACATTTTAATTTTGAAATGTCAAAATGGCAAAGTGCACAGCGTTGAATTGAAGTGTATACGTGTCGGCTGGCATAGTCTCCAGCTTCCAAGCAACCATGAACAGGATAAACTGTAGAAAATGGGTGAATTGATATTTTACTGAGCACCCAGACACTTTGATATATTGCAGCAAACATTTTAATGTTACAACATTCATGAGCAACAGGTGGCTCAGATCTTCAGGGATAACAGGTGTTGGATCAGCAACATTCTGATTGCTAAATAGTAATAATACAACTACTGCTGCATTATAGTTGATGTGCGACTTCCCTTTGGCAAAACCATACAAGTATACAGTATGTGAGGAACAAAAAATTTGATCTGTGGACCGTTTTTTTCCTTACCAGCCCATGATGCTCCTCCTCTTAGCAAGTCCTTGTTTCTTGCCAAGCAAACTGGACTTCTTCTCGACTTAAGCAGTAAATGACAACAAAGCACCTCAGGAGCATCGTCACTGTTGTACTTTGGTGGCACTGAGAGCCTTGTACAGTAGCGCATGGCACGACCAACCATTGGACTAAGGGCTCTAACATAGGACAGGGGACCAACAGAGGTTAAAAGGCGCTTTGAATTCAAGTGTCCCCTGAGTGGCGGATACATCCTTGGGCAGCGCATACACATTGTCAACAGCATTCTGTGTAATTTCATCTGCAAAGTAGCTTAATACTCAAGACCATGCAAAACAACGACATGGAAAAGTAACTGTGGATAACGTGAGGCACTAGCCCACCATAAAAAGACACAAGATCGAGGTTTTGAACATCTTAAGGAGCCCGAGTAGGTGGTATCCGGTCCACCGGAAGTAATGATAAAGGGCTCGGTTGGAGGCTATAAAATGAGAAAATAGCGATTTGTTTGCTGCCCTATTTCTGCCATCATTGTGTATCCATCACGTGACTGTCACTCAGTAGAGTACAGTACTTCGTGTTATGCTAGTTCGCAGAGCAGCTAATCAGTGACACTATGCACTCTGTGCCGAATTATCAAATTCAAATCTTAATGACAATAACGTCAAACGCAAGAAACACAAGAAAGGTTCACGCCGCTAAATACAAACTCAACTAAACTGAAACATATACACGACACGATATCGAGGTGCTGATAAAGTGGTCGTCTGGTGAAAGCTAAGGAAACAGAACGTGTCCTACCCATAATGCACCGCGAGGAAGCCAAAGATCTTCAGATCATGTAGATCATACCCCCAAAAGCTATAAATTAGTGTACACATTTAAATGTTATTATGATACATTCAATTTTTTTAACGTACATTATTGACTATTATCAATGTGCTTTGAAACGTCCGATGTGGGTCGTGTTGTCGTGAGCGTGCGTTAAAGCGCAAAAGCTTCTATCACTGACCGTCATACATCATCAGCATCACGAGGAGGAGGATGCTGCGTGGGGACCGCAGTCGACCCTAATCCACCTCGTTCAAATTTTTTTCTCACTCCTTTTGTTCATTTTCGCTGGTTGCTGCGATTCTGCATCATGTTCCCGTCGTGCTGCTCCAGGCCTGCGAACAGTGGCGGAAAGAGGAGCTCCATGGCCAAGCTCCTCCTGGGGGTGTTTATGGTCTACATGGTCCACACTGCATGGCTACTGTACGGATTCCTCAACACCAAGTCCTGCGATGAGGGCCGAAGGGAGGACTGCATCACCTCATACCTGTCGGCCAGACCTAGATTGCAGGTACCTTTTGTGCCGGTAACCCCACATGTGTCTCCCCAAGCCCAGACTCCCCAAAAATATTTTGTATCATGTCTTTTTGTTGTCCATCCAGCTCAGTGTGTTCACCTGCCTTGTTCCAGACAACAGTCAGCTCAACCTGGCTCTGAGAATTGATCCATTTGACCCACGTTCTACATTTGAAAGGTGGGCACACAATCACTTTGTATTACCTAACTGAATATACACACTTTGTTACCGTAACTGTATATTTTGTTAGGGGGAAAAGGGAACACAATATGATGATGTTAATTTGGCAATGGTATACTGACCTGTATTTACTGGAGGGAAAAATTGTGAGCAGTTGCTTTATAGTGTATTATAAATGAACTGCATTATACAGATCTGTTTCCAATATTTTATTTACTGTACAGTACTCCTAGTATCAAGATATACCGCAGTGCCATTCTAAACCACTGCAGTACATATATGTTGACATTCCAAACATAAAATGAACATGTTCGTAGTAGATCTGATTGTATGGGTGCACTCCATTAGAATAAACTGCAGTCACAGTTGAACGCTCACAATATTGTAATACACGAAGGTAAACGGGATTTATTTTGAACAAAATATCTTCATGGGCTGTTTCAACTACCTGCTATGTTGTGTTCATCTGTGCATGCAGGCAGGTGAATGTTCTCCTGCCGGAGGAGACTCGAGCCAATGGCAGCTTGTATGCTGTAGTGTACGTCCACAAGGCCAGCGTTTCTCCTTTGGATGATAGCCGAGAGGTGCACCATGCAGCTGTGCTTACCACCCACATCAGCCCTGCAAACACTGAAGGGCACAGACACACACAGAAGGTACACTCACTCTGCTTCATCTTCTCAAGACATGAGTTCAGATTTTCACCGTGAGAGCTTCCCATCAAAACATTGTCTGAAGCCCTTAACTATTAAAAAGATTATTCAGCTATTTTGTGTTGCTGAATTTACACTATAGTACAACAGTGGTGCCTTGAAACACAAGTGACCTGAGTTTTTTTTTTCAGGATATGAGGCGTTCTGACGTTAAAAAAAATATATGTTTTTTTTGACTTGTGAGCAGCGCTGCATGATGGCAACAAACTCAATTCAGATCACTTTATAAAAAGGTGTATTTTGGCAAATAGTGAACAGTTCATTCAAATTAGAGGCTTCAAAATGTTTAATGCCTCTCCCAATTTAAGTTTGCTGTCAAACTACACGTGGAACAAAGAGAATTCCACTTTGTGTACTTAAAACCAATGTGGCTCCCCTTTATGACTCTGTTCCTCCGCATTTCTTCACCCAAGTATTGGTAAATCGTTCTTGGCCATTATCAGCAGCAGGCTGTCTTCTGGTGTAATTCCCCAACCATTTAAACATGCTGTGGTGCAACTCTTGCTCAAGAAACCTGGCCTTGATCAAGATGTATTATCAAACTTTGGACCAATTTCCAAGATGTCTTTTATTTTAAAAAATCTGGAAAAAGTGGTGCTCATGCAGTTACCATCTTTCTTGGATGAACATAAGGTCATGGAGGTCTTCCCATCAGATTTTAAGATCATGCATATAGCACAGAGTCAGCCCTGTGAAGAGTTTTTAGTGACTGCTTCCTGGCAAATAATACTGGAGACTGTATGTCTGGTTTTGTTAGATTTAACTGCAGTTGATCACAGTATTCCATTGGCTTGTTTGCAGCACCACGTGGGCATTCGTGGTAGTATCCTTGAGTGGTTTAGATCCTATTTGGCTGACAGAACTTTTTGTGTTATCCTTGGTTGCTCTGAATCCCATACTGCTCCACTGTTGTTTAGTGTTCCACAAGGTTCAATTCTGGGGCCTCTGATGTTTTTATTATATCTGCTCCCTTTGGGTTCCATCTTCAAGAAACATGGTATTTCCTTCCACTGCTATGCGGATGACTGAGGCCACTCATGTCCTCTCTGGAGGAAATCACGAGCTGGATGGCACTGAATTTCTTGAATTTCAATGACAAGAAAACTGAAGTTATGGTGTTTGGTCCCAGTGGCCCTTGTACATCCCATCCTATGAACTTGGGATTTGGTCTCTCCGTGAAGGTGAACAAGCTAGATGAAGAAGAGCGGAGGACTGTCGCGTTTGACACACAGGTGCTTCTACCTTACCTGCCAATGTCATGATTTCATATTCTTCGTTTCCGTTGAAACACTTCACGAGTGGCGTTTCTCTCCAGGCATCCATGTACTTGTCCTACTTGGTCTATCCTCTGTGTATCAGGAACTTGGGCCCCCTGGTTGGACATTGATTTTAAACTGGAGAGGCTGTTGTTAAATCCATCTTTTTTTTAATCTTGGACAGCTGGCTATGGTAAAGCTTCTCCTTTCTCAACAGCATTTTGAAAAAGTAATATAATGTATGACATATATAATATATAATAACAATAATGCCTGATTTCGTTACTTCTTGGCTGCATTAATGTAACACACTTTATTTGGCTGTCAGCCAATCCTCCATCAAACGCTTCCAGTTGGTCCAAAATGCTTAATGCTAACATATAATGGAAAACACAATTGACAGGCTAAAGATTAGCATTGATGTTGGGGTTTATAACAAATCAATATCTGTGTGTGTGTGTGTGTGTGTGTGTGTGAACGTTGCAAATGGAACGTAGAATAGACACCGACGCTGTCTCATCAGGTGTGGAAGCTGTTGAAAGTATTAGAGCTCCAAATTAAAGCATCCTGTATCCCATTGGAGACCCCATCTGTCAATCACAATTATGTCAGAGGACTTCACCTTCACCAAAGGAGGACTCCCCAGTGACATGCACCGCTACGTTAGAATGTAAGTCACGTGATCAAATGCAGTAGAGTGCTGCTCTATTTCTGACGGCCATAGAACACTGATTGGACTGAAAGAAGGGACAAATTTGTCATGCGTCAATGCATCCATTGAACTTCAACGTTCTGTCAGCTCACAGGAAGGAAGACGGATCCTCTACCTTCCTCTGATGCTCATTGATGAGCTCAGCTTCAGAATCCGAGATCTCATGGTAAAACAACCTCACAAAATACGCTACTCACAAAAATTCGGGGAAATTCAATTTTCAAAATGTAGTCCAGGTGTAACGTTTCCTGGGAACTTAATCTGAGCTTCTCTAAACTTTGAATCACACATGTCCAACTTTTCTATGTTTTTGTTCCTTGTCTCCTAATTTTTGAACAAAGAACTGAATGTCAAAGTTCTCAACAGGTGTCAGTTTTTTTTTTAATTATTATTTCCAAGGACATCCATTTTTATGCCCGTTTAATGATTCTTCTAGTCTCTTTGTGGTGCAGTGCAGTGGTGCACGATTATCTATGCATCCTTCCACAGGAGATCAACAGAAGCACCACCCATCTGCCACTCACAGTGTCCTATGAAGGCATTTCTCTGAGGAAATTTCGATTTTGGGTTCATCTACAGGATGTGGTTTATTCCCTGCGGCAGTTTGGTGAGGATAAATCAAGGAATTTGCTACTCAAATTAGGGTGAAGTGATTAATCGAATACTGTAACTCAAATAATTCAATTACAAAAAAGGTTGATGCAAGAGCTCCACCTCATTGGGATAATTTTTCCACTGAGACTACTGTGGCCGTGGAATCACAATGACGATGTGTAGAAATAATTTGGCACCAAGACAGTGAGCAAGTAGGAATCAGACCGTGAACGACAGTGATTGGCCAAATTTCAGGGTTATTTCACACCTAAAAAAAAAAAAAAAAGAGTACTTCTATTATTAAGAGTCCTGTATTTAATAGATCTTGAATGAATTTCGCTGGGGAGTCTCCTAAAATTGGATTATTAAAATGAATTGGTGCCCATAAATAATTGGTTACATGAGTTATTAAAAATGAGACAATTTAGAAATATTGGTAAAATAAAGTTTGATTATACATTTACAACAAAATATTATTTTTAAAATATTACTATAAAAGACTTACTGCATCTTTTTTTGTTAAAAAAAAAAAAATCCAAAATTGTGCACAGCCTTGATCTGTAGATTAAAAGTGTGTTACGTACTTCTCTTTGTGCATGCAGGCTTCTCCGAGGAGTACATTGATGAGATTAAAGGGACCTTGGTGGGCTCTAATCTGTACCTGTTAGTGTTGACCGCCGTCATCACAGCCCTGCAAGTAAGACTGTGCGTCCACTTCGATGATATGAATAATGCTACGTTTTTACAATGAGGTTTAAAGACCATCAGCACGGTGGTCTAGTGGCTAGCAGGTTTGCCTCACACCCCTGAGGTTTGCGGTTCAAATTCAGACTTGTCGTGAATATTAGGATAGGACACACCTGCGTCGCTACTGAAAACATGTGCCATGGAAACTAGATGGACATCTAAAAAATGTTATTGTCCTCTAACTTTCGCAGCTCATTTGTGAATTTCTGGCTCTTAAAAATGACATCAGCTCCTGGAGGAAAAAGAAGAGCATGGCAGGAATGTCCAGGAAATCCGGTAAGAGGCTGTCATACGCAAGCACAACCCTTACATTTCGGAAACAAGAAAGCCAGGCTGCAAAGCATTGCATTTTGCACTCTGTCACAACAGTTTTGTGGCGAAGCCTCTGCACGTTGCTGATTTTCCTGCACCTGCTGGAGGAGACCAGCCTGCTGGTGCTACTTCCTGTTGGGCTGGCGGCATGTGTGGAGGTATTACAAAGTATATCACGTCAGAAATAACAAAACGTTGCAAATGGAACGTAGAATAGACACCGACGCTGTCTCATCAGGTGTGGAAGCTGTTGAAAGTATTTCGGATCAACTTGCACTGGAGACGACCGGGCGTGAGTACTGAGTCAAACACCTTCACAATAGCATCCGTGCAAAGTGACATGACAATCAGTATTAGGTCTCTCCGTGAAGGTGAACAAGCTGGATGAAGAAGAGCGGAGGACTGTCGCGTTTGACACGCAGGTGCTTCTATCTGCCAATGTCACGATTTCATATTCTTCGTTTCCGTTGAAATACTTCACGAGTGGCGTTTCTCTCCAGGCGTCCACGTACTTGTCCTACTTGGTCTATCCTCTGTGTATCAGCGGAGCTATTTTCTCGCTGGCCTACTTACGCCAAAAAAGGTGAGTGGTTGTTGTACTTCTACTCTGCCTCTTCATTTGTATTTGGCGTAATATTCTAGTTGACTTACACAAGCCACTTAGGCATGTCAAGCGCTCTTATGTAGTTCACTGATGGGGGGCGTTTATCCAGCTTTATTTCTTAAATTAGTGCATTAAATAATTTGTTGTGGATATATGTTAAATAACACAAAAATAAAGAAGAATTAGAGTGATTACTATTTTTACAATAAAAATAAACCATCATACATATTTGGGATTTATTTAATCAAATAATTGTTTGAATTATTTATTGTGCATAATAAAATGAATTATTTTACCTATATGTTCAACATTTTTATTTTATTAAATAGTAGGCGGTGTGCAATTATCATTAATAATTGCCATGAATTATGAATAGTTAATCAAATAAGCAAATTTTATTTTGGTATTCAACATGTACTGTCTATTCCTTTCATAAAATAATTGTAATAAAACGTATTGATTTATAAACAATTATATATGATATCAAGAACATTTAGAATGAATTATACTTTTTGTAAAGTCTCTGCAAAACGTCTACAGCTCATAACAACAGGGAGCTTCGCTAAATTCTAAATATGCTTAGCGTGTACTTTTGAGACGGCACTGTTCATTAAAGGTGGCATTTGTGGCGAATGTGGGGAAACTGCATGTACAGTAATATTTGTTGTGTTGCGCCAACACTAAACTCGTCTTGCTTGACAGGAGTGTATGCATTTGGCTTCCTCTCGATGGCTCCTCAACTGTTTATCAACCACAAGGTGAGTCCTGCCGTCCAACCTTTGACGGTGTGTTTTCCCGAGCGCCTTCAACTCAAACGGATGTCATGTTGGCTTTTCCGATCAGCTAAGATCTGTCAGCCACCTGCAGGGGGCAGTGTTGATGTACAGAGTGAGTGGGATGATTTTTCCTTTTTCAGAACATTGCATTTCACGCAAAGATCTCTATATTTTTTTCATTCGATTCTCTTCCCTTTGTACCAGGGAGTGAACACTCTGATTTCAGTGATTTTTCCTCTTTCAGAACATTGCATTTCACGCAAAGATCTATTTTTTTCATTCGATTCTATTTCCCTTTGTACCAGGGAGTGAACACTCTGATTTCAGACCTGTGCTCCTGTGCTGCCATGTTCTCCTCATCTGAGGCATTCTTGTCCTCTCATCAACTGTCCTTTTTCAGAGATGAGCTCTTCTTCCTCGTCTACCTCTACCAAAAAAGGTAGCACACACGACTCTTTTACTTTTACAGTGGGACTGCAGGAACATTAAGTCATGCACGGCTGTGTGCCAAAAAAGAGAAAAAAAAAACTAAGCAGGGGCCGATTGGAGGGATGCAATTTTGGAGAGTGCACTCAGGAAGCTGAGATGGCGAGAATGGTTTTACACTGGAATCTTTGCAACAACCCAAAGACACTGCAGACTGAATGTTCATAGAAATAACAGCGAAGACTTCCTGTTGTCTTATCTTGTCCTTCCCCATCAGGCGTTGGACCCCAAAGGCCAGAAAATCCGAGTGTGGCTCTCACAGCAAGAAAGTAAAGACTCAGTGAGCATCTTAAACAAGTGATCACAAATCTATGTCAGCCTCTACAAAACGTCTACGGCTCATAACAACAGGGAGCTTCGCTAAATTCTAAATATGCTTAGCGTCCACTTTTGAGACGGCACTGTTCATTTAAGGTGGCAGTTGTGGCGAATGTGGGGAAACTGCATATACAGTAATATTTGTTGTGTTGCGCCAACACAAAACTCGTCTTGCTTGACAGGAGTGTATGCATTCGGCTTCCTCTCGATGGCTCCTCAACTGTTTATCAACCACAAGGTGAGTCCTGCCGTCCAACCTTTGACGGTGTGTTTTCCCGAGCGCCTTCAACTCAAACGGATGTCATGTTGGCTTTTCCGATCAGCTAAGATCTGTCAGCCACCTGCAGGGGGCAGTGTTGATGTACAGAGTGAGTGGGGTGATTTTTCCTCTTTCAGAACATTGCATTTCACGCAAAGATCTATTTTTTTCATTCGATTCTATTTCCCTTTGTACCAGGGAGTGAACACTCTGATTTCAGACCTGTGCTCCTGTGCTGCCATGTTCTCCTCATCTGAGGCATTCTTGTCCTCTCACCAACTGCCCTTTTTCAGAGATGAGCTCTTCTTCCTCGTCTACCTCTACCAAAAAAGGTAGCACACACGACTCTTTTACTTTTACAGTGGGACTGCAGGAACATTAAGTCATGCACGGCTGTGTGCCAAAAAAGAGAAAAAAAAAACTAAGCAGGGGCCGATTGGAGGGATGCAATTTTGGAGAGTGCACTCAGGAAGCTGAGATGGCGAGAATGGTTTTACACTGGAATCTTTGCAACAACCCAAAGACACTGCAGACTGAATGTTCATAGAAATAACAGTGAAGACTTCCTGTTGTCTTATCTTGTCCTTCCCCATCAGGCGTTGGACCCCAAAGGCCAGAAAATCCGAGTGTGGCTCTCACAGCAAGAAAGTAAAGACTCCGTGAGCATCTTAAACAAGTGAGATGGTGAACTTGGCGACAGCGGCTTATGATCCTTTCCCCATCCAACCTTTTCTTACACACTTTGCACTTACAGCATCATAAATACATCCAGTGCAATCGTAATATCTATTTGCTCTGTTACAGTCTGCTCCATATGCAGGGTGAGCGAAGCCATTTTCATTCATTCATCCCGGTCATGCTGCATCTTAATGTGGGCGCTTATCCTGCCAATTACTCCCTCCCACACTCTACTATTGCTCATGATGTTTATTTATTGCATATTTTCATTGCAAAAGTAAATAGGCCGAATGCAAACTGATGAATATAGAGAGAAATATCATGCTTGGAAGTGATTTATGAATGTGAAAAAGGCACTACGTATGTGCGTGGCGTTTCTAATGGACTTCACTTTGATTGTTTGCATTTGATGAATAAACAATTATTGTAGAAACACATTAATGTTTGTCCTTAAGTTCAGGTTGCACAATGCCTTAGGTAAAGTGACTTTTGCAGTTATGTGTACAACAAATTTCAGTTATAATGCAGGACAAATGTGAGAATGTCAAAATAAGTGTGGATGTAGTTAGTGATTCATACTTACTTGTTTTTCGTTGTCGGCACACACAGCATAGTTCTCGCTGAGAGGGTGTCATTATGCAATGCAAAAGAGCTGGCACTTGACTCGAGCAAAGAAAGCAAACAACTTGTCAAGCAGTCGTGCGGCACAAGGCAAGCTGTGCATGCTGAAGAAACACCGGCTTCGTTTGACAAAGGAAGTGGCTTTCATTGGACAATGTGACTGACAGCAGAACGACACGAGACAAGTATCAGTGAAACCAAACATCAAGGAATGTCGCACACATGCGCTGCAAGACAACATTTATGAAATACTTTCAGTTGATTGCCACTACGGCAGATGACACGGGTGGAAATGTGATGAAGTGGATTTGTACCAACAGAAACCTAACACATACACACGGCAGGTTGGACAGACTCACATGAGGTGAGTCCGTGCGGTCAAGATGCTGCTTGTCCTCGTCGTCCTCTCCCTATTCTTCTCTCCGGGTGAGTTGTTTATGCTGCGGGTCAAAAGGTTACCATGCTTTTTTTGCAAAAAGGGGCTTCCTGGCACTTTTGGTGCTTGATGGCTGGCTAGAGGATAGTTTAATGACACAGGATGAAGTGAGTCAATTATAAATTATTAATTATAAAGATGATCTAAACCAAAGTGAGCAAGCTCTAAGAGTGATAAACTGACTCTACCTGCAATAGAAGCATTTCTTTGATGATCCATATTAACAGTGTCAGCACCCCATGCTATGGATAGCAGGAATTTTGCACGGAATAACCTGTGTTTCAAGGAAACGTGGACATTTTGATTTTGTTTAAATACTTGTTTGGACATAAACGTGCAAGCTGAGTGTGTATAGGGCAGGGTTGTCTGATATTGACAAATTGATGGGTATTTTGGAAAACCAAACTATTATGTGTCATCAGTCCAAACCTTGTCTGTCTTCTACTTGCAGTGCTGTTATTGAGCTGCTACGTGTGCAGCTCTTCTCTCACTAATGACGAGTGCAATTCAAGCACACAGGAATGTCAAGCACCTCTGGACACTTGCATGACAGTCGTGGACACTTTAGGTACTGATCTAACGGATAACAAGAGCGCCGCGACAAGATCTTGTTGATCATTTGTGTGTTGTTGCAGGTCACATGAAGGCCATCGTGAAGCAGTGTGCCAGCAGGGCCACGTGCAACGGAGCAGCGTCTACCGCTTTTGTGGACTCTGATGGAAACGGGAACGCAGTCAGCTGTTGCAACAGTTACAACTTGTGTAACTTTAGCGGAGGAGAGGTCATTCACGCCCAAAAACTTGTTTCTTTGCTGCTGCTGGTGTCTGCAGGCACAATACTGTGGTCATACTGAGGTCAAGTCACACCGACGTTCGACCGGGATACTCTGGTTTACAGATTTTCACGGAACAACACTTGATATTTGTGTGAAAATGGTTTTAGGCTTTAAAAAAAAAAAAAAATGAATGCGATGAAAATCAGTTGGTACAAAGGCAACTGAGCGTTCTGTATGACAACAGTTACTCTGCTGCACAAGCTACTACATTCCATGCCATTGATAGCCTCAAAATGTTGAATACCGAGTATGCCCTTTATTATGCAATGTTGTTTAATTTTAATGTATTTAAATATAATGGTAACAATGTACACTATGTGGGGGGAAAATAACTGGCCTGATGGTGTAAGTTTGATGTTCAATATCCATGTTGGGGTCAGGGCTCTTCTACATCAAACCTATACAACCATTTTTTTTTTTTTTTTTTAAGTGCTAGTGCTCGCACGGGTTCCTTATAAATGGATTCTTGTTGTTGCAGTCCAATGAAAAGCATTTGTTTGTTGCTTTTGGATAAAAAGCGAACACACAACCTAATTTGGAAACACATGCTTTTCCAGGGGACAGCAACGTATGTGTAACATAGCTTTGACAATACCTCATTTTATTGAGTTGATTTTAAATACGGGAATAACAACATGCTTTAATTCCATGTTCTTTTAAGAGTACGGTAGAAAAAGTAATTTGGGCACTAGCTGTCAATGTATTTTTTGCAAGAGGCTCAACTGAGTAAAACTTCAAAGTTGTTATTAGCGAAATGGGACACACCATTTCCACTTCTGCATGATTTTTATTTCATTGTTTTTCCTGCTATTTAACAAGAAGGCAGACAAAATAAAAAACAGTGTTTACTCGTACGACTTCTGTACAATTGACCAGTGATGCACACCAGTACACTTTTACAATATACCAACATGAGCAGATTTACACAACAACAAAGAGATAAAATAAATTGTTTATTGTACATTTGTAACCCTCTATCAACCCAGGTATTGATTGGCTGGCTAGACGTGATCATCAAACCTGGGTCAAACTACTCTTGATTCATTTTGGTGCTGTGCAAATATGCTCTCCTCCATACCACTAAGTCATGCCACACGCATGGAGTTTGGTGTTCTCAGTTCATCCTCATGAGTTTGTAAGATGACGTTCCAGTTTTGTGGCTCAAAACGTCAGCCCGGGATCTCGTACATATTGCTGGAGCTCAACTTCATTTGCATTTTTGGCAAATCACTCCGTGATCCCAAGCGGATATGATGGCATGTGGGGCAGGTAGAGGTTGACAAGGAGGAGGCCCTCACCACCCTCCTTCATCTTCTCCCCCCCACCCCCTCTGTGCTGCTGGGATGGAATATGTATGAGTTTTCTGTTTAGATGAAGATGGTGAGTCAAAACGACAGACGATAAAGAGCAAACTCTGTGAGATCTGAGGCGGCTTCATCAAAATCTTTCAAACCTGCTCAGACCGGAGCTGGATGAGGAAGACAACAGGAAAAGAGTCAGTAAGACAAAAAGTAAGAAAGGAAAAAACAATTCCTTTAGTGTTTTGTATCGTGTCTTTCATTCGTCTCATTTGTGATACTTTAAATAAAAGAGAGTGAGAAGGGAAAAGAAGGGATAGTGGAGGAACAAAATCGGCAAGGTTTCCGCGACCAGAAAAAAAAACAGCTGACATGCTCGAGTCACTTCCTTGTGATATGACGACGCTTAAGAGAGTCAGGTTCCGATGGCTTGGCTTACTCCAACAAATGGAATCGATTTGCAGCCAACCCAACATCCATGATGCTCTATTCCTCTCTTTCTCCCACTTTAGTCCACAAAGACGACAAATCCCTGATTCAGGAATCGTTTTGCTCGGTTCTTTAAAAAAGATCTCACAGTGGTGCAGAGTTAAATAAAGGATCAGCGCCGTGGTTACAACGAGGTGACGACGATATCGGGGCCTTCACATGACCCCAGTAGTCAGTTTTTGGATGGAAAGTTCCAACAACTCTCACTGTAAGGAAGTAGACGGATCCACCAGTCAGTGAACATCACGTGCGGTGCTAATGTGGGCGGGACTGTGCCATCATCTTGAGCCGGGATTGGTCGATGACGTCCAGCAAATTTTTGGCATCCACAGCAAGGGCGTGAGCAGCGGTCAGCATCTGCTTCTTATAGTCTTGCTGAAGACTGAACGCAATACATGAAAAATATACATTAGCTACATTACTGTGTCACGAGTGGGCGGACAAAGGACACAACGATACAACATCTTGTCTTAGTAGACCACTGTAGGTATGCTGCTGACTGCTGACTTGAGTTCAATAAGTTAAGCATATAAGGTATTAGAGCTACACAGAGAAAAAAAAAACTCAAGTCATCACGTTATGAAAATAACGTTATGGAAAAAAACTGTTTTGAGAAAAAGGTTGCAATAAAAAGTAAATTTAAGTCTATGATAATAATGAAGAGCGTTGAGGATGTTAATTTAGACTCAAGGATATGTGTTTTTCCACTAATAAATATTAATTAGAGCTGATAAATGATACACAGCAGGGGTGTCCAACTCTGGTCCTTGAGGGCCCCTATCCAGCCTGTTTTAGATGTTTCCCTACTCCAGCACACTTGATTCAAATGATCAGCTCATCAGCAAGCTCTGCAGAACCCCGATCAGGATTCTGGTCATATGAATCTGGTGTGTTGGATGAGGGAAATATCTAGAACATGTAGGATAGGGGCTCCCGAGGACCGAAGTTGGTGACTACTTTCAGTGTGTTGACCTTTGACATTCAATCGTTTAAATATTTCTTCTTTTGAAGGCCTTTTTTTTGTTCATTCATTTTGCCTTACTCTGAATTTTACAACTTTTTTTTTTTCTTTTCAGCGTGGCCCTCCTTTGTGTCATTTTGGATTACATACTCTTGATTGTGCTGTGTGGTGTTACCTCGTCATCACATACTGCTGAGCTAACTTCATTTTTCCAATCAGTTCCGCCAAGTCAGAGTTCAAAAGCTTTTGCGCCATCTCGATCTGGGAAAAAAAAAAACAACATTTATTGCCCATTGATAATAATGATGATAAAGTGCTGTATGTATGCAGATATTTTGTTTGTATATGTATCTGCTGAGAAAGAGTGTGTCATTACCTCTCTGTGTGTGCTGGCTGGAAGTTGCGGTAGGGTCTCGTCCACTGTGGCCAACAAAGTCCTCAATGCAAGGCCCACATCCTGAAAACAGGAAACCACAATATCTTTTCACTGTGAACCACACAGCCTGCTACCCGGATGACGTCAATAATGTCCAAAGAACTGACAAATGTTGTTATTTACTAGTGTATTTAACAGGACACTGTGAGATGGATTTACGGAAAAACGTGAGCTGCGGCCAAAATGAGAGGTGCAAAGAAGAACTCTGAAATGCAATTAACAAATATTATTGTGACATAATAGCTATTCAGCAATGCAATTCTGGAGCTTCTGAATGATCTCAGGGCTGACTCAGACCCAGTCACAAGAAGGAGTCATGCTATATTACTTAGAACAAAACTGTTTTCAACTCCGCATTTCCATGTATCTGAGACATTTCAGCTCACTGTGACAACTGGTCTCTTACAGAGTAATTTTGTACTGTCCATAATGTTACGTAGGATGGGCACATTCTTGTACATCTTGTACAATGTTGATTGCCGACCACTGGGGGCAAGTTGAATTAAACAAATCATGGCCTATATGTGGGTGCTTTCTTCCCCCAAATTACCGCTACCTGCACAAAAAAAGCTGTTTCCTATAATGCGGTCATGCGTTCCATGCTCTTCCAATTCAGTGAGTGAAGATATAATTTAGTAGCCACTACACCTAAGTAAATGATATTAATCTTATAAAATCACGTGCAAAATGCCAACAAGCACACAGTCTGTTAGAGAGAATATGCAATTCAGTCAAGTTCTGACAACAACAATGTATTTTGGTTACCTTGACCATGGGAACGTACTCCTCGGGAGGAGCTGGCTGAATCTTGCTCGACATCTCGATCACAGCTTTCACCAATCCGGTCACGTTTTCGTATACCTTGTCGTTGGAGCGGTCCAGATTGGCGGTGGGAGGGGGGCTGATCTCTTGGGGCTGTAGCTGAGCCGAGTCAAGGACGAACATTGATGAGTGCTGTGCTTACCGCGGGCAACAAGAACCAAGACAAATGTGGAGATGATATAGATGAAACATACAATATCAAAGCTTTGTTGCATCTTATCCAGTGGACGATATCAATGTCTACAAGAGTACAGCGGCCAAACTACGAGGAACTAATAAGCAAAAAAGGGCATGTAGACCTCAGTCAAGGCTAAACATGCCTAAAACTGACCATCAGATTTATCTAATTGAAAAATAATAACGGAGCAAGAGCTACCGACTTAGTTCTTAGTTCAATGTCAGATGTGGTAATATACTCTACTTGGTGTCTACATGGGCACATACAAAATGATGGCATTATTGCATTGAGTTCACATGAGCGCACCAACTGTGGCATCACAAATGTCGAAATTCTTACTGACAATGGTTCACATTCCAACCGACTGGAATGTTGAAAATGTCATCTCTTGAAACTGTGCTATGTGTCACGAGTTGAGGGATATGTTGTACAGTACAAAGTGGGCGAAAATTGACATGCAGAGCACGTTTTTTCACCACGGGTGTATCTGCTGGGTTAGGTGGGTCATACAATTCTCAATTTGCACAAAAGTGTTATTTTCTCTTCTTCAGCCCAGTTACCCTGTTTTACAGGAATCAAATGAAACTGAAAGTAAATGAAGGGACAAATGATCAAGCTCTACGACAGTATGCTAATTCTCCACTACAAACCCACATCAGTATGCACTGGTCTTTCATGGCCACTAGAGGGCTCTAAACAACATAGAATGTCCAACATTTACTTCTCTAAGGCAGAGGTCCCCAACCTTTTTTGCCCCATGGCAGACAATATTTTCAGAGACCGGCCTTTAAGGACGGATAAATACAGCAATATAATATGATATGACCTGCATGAAAAGTGTGGTATTTCCGAAACATAATCATAAACACGAATCATGACACGAGGAACGTCCTATCTGGCCGCAACATTCTCTGGTCGCTATGGACGTTCCTTCAAAATAAAATACGACGCAAATAAAAAGTGCATGAAAAATACGACTCACCATCGCCGCTTATTATGCAGAGTAGGCTTGGTGTGTGTGAATCTCCCGTTGAGATAAAGCTGTATTTGAAATAGGACTCCTGATAATATCTATTAAATGTAGCCTTCTCTTTCTTGAAAGTCGTAGGCTCCTCTTCTGTCTCCTGGCTGGGCCTTTTCCCCTTCCCGAAAAAAACTTTTCAAAGATGTTTGTTTTTTATGCAGTAACCTATCACGTGACCGAGAAGCGCGCATTCACCTGCGTCAAGAGTGATAGACTGATATAACAGAGAATCCGGTCATTTTTCGAAATAAAACCTCTTTCAGATTCCGAAATGACTAAAACGGAAGGAATGTAAGTTATTTATTCTTTCAGTGCGGCCCGGCACCGAATGACCCGCGGACGCGGACCGGCGGTTGGGGACCCCTGCTCTAAGGCATCTTAACACAACCACACAGTCTTGGAATTTGAAAGTGACTCATTATATCATGCAGCCGAATCTAATTCAAGTCCTTTTCTATGCGCATTCTTGTTCTCTGCATTAGACATAGCATAAAAAAGTCTGAGTATTATGGCTACTATTTAGGGGACCTCAAAATGAAAACAGATATGCAATTGACGGACCACATTGCACACAGCAAGACAACAGGTGGGCACAGAATATGCCGGACAGCAAGTCAAAGAGGACAAGAAACACCATCTGCTCACATTACACTGGCGACTGTTTGAAAACCGACAGCTGTGTGATTGCATTTTCAGTGTGGCATCAAGCTACCGTAATATTCTTAGTAAAAGTTAGGAAACTAGCTAGGAAGCTAACTAACATATGTTCGCGTGGGAGGGCAATAATTGTATTAAGAGTGCACAAAAAGGGGAGAGCGGGAAAGAAATAAGGAATCGATAGGAGAGGAGTGCAAAATAAATGTGTGTTGTGTGATGCACAAGAAGATACACACAATATGTTGCTTACCCGCCAGGGCTGGGAGTCAGTAAGGCAGAGTACAGGAGGAGGAAGAGGAGGGAGAGTGGGAGCATGCAAACCAGAAGAGAAGATATTATTTCGGAAGCCATAAAACATGCATCGTATAGTATATATTAGGCAACGGTATTGGTTTTGTTGCACGATGACATTCAAATGATCAATAAATTGCACGTTCATGTGTTTTAGATTTAGGCTTTTTGCACATTTGCAGCTCTCTTGTGTACCTTCACGCCATCATTGTAGCCGTCTGCAGTGTTCAGACCCGCCAGACTGCACCCTTGGCTCTGGGCCCCAGGTCGTGGTGGTTTTTTCGGGGGGGCCACGAGCTCTGCAGGAAACAACATCTCCTTAGTTCTGGAGTACAGTAGACCCAGTGCATGCTAATTTTATAAGTGTGTATACTGGAATCTCACTGGATTCAACAATGGCATGGCGTGTCGAAAAATACAAGATGAGGGGTCCTCCTCCTCAGAGACTGAATTACATTGCTCCAACTAGCACTTGTGAACACTGAAAAGTGCAGGCTACATGATAAAGAAACTGTCTGCTGGATGGAAACAAATCCAAAGTTGTACGAAGGAAGAGAAAGCACGACAGATTTCAATGCGCACATCAGAAGTTTAAATAGAAAGCGAGGAAAAAAACTGTGGTTGCGGCACTGTAATTTAAAGGTTACAGGGCTGTCTATTACCTGCTTTGCCAACGGGCTGGTATATGTGTTGGTTTCCCGTCTGCAAAAACAAACACATTAACAATACTTTGGGTTAGCAAGTATGTACATGCAAGTGGAAGCTTGAGAGGGAATTAAACAACTTTACAAGCGAGACTTTGTGTCTAAGAAAAGTAAAGCAGGCAACTGAATGTTCCAATCACACAACACTCAGTCTCTATTTGTCATTAGCAGTGGTGTGTGTGCGTGTGTCTGTGCGTGTGGTCTGTCACCTTGTTACATGAAGGTAAACATGTGGCCACACATACATACGCACAAAACAAAGAACACCGGCACATTCCTTGACGAATTGTTGGTTGCAAACATAAAATAAGGCAATTCAATTTTGTCCTGATGCCAGTCAAGTTAGGAGTTTAAATTCAGTCACTTATTTGGCTTTTCTGTGTGAGAAAATAAAAGCGATGGCTGAAAAAAGTCCTTTTGCAATGGGAGACTTGTGGGTTGTCAACCACAGACACCCCAAAATATTTGACTACAGTAACACAAATCCCCACATATAGCAGGGAGATTTTTCCCACCACAAACCACATTCTATGGGAGGAGGAGGTCAGACAGTGTGATGAATTACAGAGACAGAAATATCTCTGTTGCCAAGGGCAACATTAGGTGCAAGGCCAATGTCTCCCAGTACAAAAAATAAAATCCTCTTACTGGTAAGCGTTATGAATGTTGACATATCAAATGATTTTATCCGTTATCTAGAAAACAAAAACATTTCATGCCCTTTTTTTTGGGGGGGGGGTAGTTCTTGCCCATGTGTCTCATGGTCTATTCGAGTGTATTCATTTACTGTATGACAGTAACACGACCAGACAGCTGAAATTTCCTATTCAAAAAAGAATCTAAATAATTGTGACTGTGGAAAAGGGCTTGATCTACTGTACTTACATCCATCGCCATTTTTGAAAACCTTCCAGACATTATGCAATGTAGTAAATTGAAATTCATCTTGGAGGCATCTTCAAGGTTTTTCCTCCAGCATTTAAATATGCAAACGGGACAATACAGAATGCTAGTACGATAATAAAAACCACAAAATGGGAATGTGTCTAATAAAACTGAGCCTTGAGCACCAAATTCTAAGTGGGGGGCCCAATGACTATAAATCTTGTGTACCCCTTTGAGATACAATAATCTACACCAGGCTTCGGGTGCAAATAAAAAAAAAGAGCGTTACTGATTAAAGTCTGTGTGTCCTCCATCACACCTGAACTTGGCGCTGCCTACCAATGACCTCATCACTAAGGGATTGTGTTCACGCCAAGTCTGAACACGGCTTTACTTGAAACCACCCATGTGGGATTTTCCTGTGACGCCATGCTTCACACTCGAAATAGTTTAACTGCCTTTTTCAGGGTGTATTTACAGTGGCCGGATTTAGGCAGAATCCCAACAAACAAGAGTGCGGCAACAGAGGAAAAGAGAGAAGTGCAGAGATGACGGTTTGGTGTTTATGCAATGGTTTTCTATTAATAACCACCCGTGATGTGGGAATCCACTGACCCCCTCATTGGTGACCCCAGCACAAATGGGTTATTTCCTGCTCCAGGATCGCAACCCTTTGCTGTAATCAAAAGAAACACATGCTGCCGCCAATTTTTTGTGAGACCAACCAGAACCTGACTCGGTCATCTCAGACGACTTCTTTTTGTTTTTACCAGTTATTCCCCACCACTTTCCTATGGCACAATTGTGCCATGAGAGACCATCAGGTGAGCCACTGGAAATTATTCAATTTAATTTAACCGGTATAAAAATGATCATTTATTTACTATAGTTGTATCTTTGTTAATCTATTTATTTCAGCAAGATATAGTGGCAAGCACAACAATGCTATTATTTGCCACTAGATGGCAGAATCAATTTACCAACCTGAACTAAATAGGTCCAGATTTCACACGGAGTATTTGTGACTTAATTGAGACATCCTCATTGTTACAGTATATATTCAATAAGGGATGTTTGATATCAGTATTAGCATTCATTCTTTAACATTGAACATTTAACGCAATGACAAAAGATTATGAAAAAAAAACAAAACAATGTGTCAGACTGCTGCAGTATAGCGCATACGACTGCCGATACTTTTTGTAAACATTTTATTTGTTGGTGTGCCTTTTTTAACATATGCCTTAGCATTGATAGAAATTGGAAGTATTGGTTTTAACATAAATAATCAAGAACAACTGGAAACCCCACTCCCAAAGACAATAACCATTAAAACTGTCTTGAGTGCTGATGGAACCTCCAGGACCATTGTTTCCTTTACAACACTAATCCTGTCATACCATTGCTGACAAGAAAAAACACAGAAAAAAACCCCCACAGAGTTTGATGGAGGCAGAAAACGGGAACGACTTACTGGTGGCTGCAGTACTCCATCATCTCGGTCCAGACTCCCACGAGAACTTCTGTTTTCTGGTTTCTAAGTGAATAAAAATGACAACAATCACCACCACCCCCCACCAAAAAAAAAAAAAATTGTTATCACCAAATGAGCATTCAAATAAGACTGCAGTGAACAGTCAACAAACATGATAGTGATTCAACACAATTAGTCTTTAGTCAAGACGTCACCAGACGACTGAGAGTGCTAACAACATTTCACCTGAAGTTTAAACAATTAAAAAAAATCTTGGGCACAGCAAGCACTTCAATATGATACCTCTGACAGGATTCAAGCACAACACTTCCAATAAATCAGTAGCAACAAGCAACTTTACCACGACTTTCTAATGTCATCCGAATTGAACAAAGAGCACCTACGACATGTACAGATAAAATCCCACTCCTCCCGCCTACCAGCTGTCCAAGGCAGGACTTGAAGACCAGCATAGCAATGGAATTCATATATGTGTAGGTCTTCTTATCTGTATCCGCGTGTGTGCCAGCAGGTTTATGTGGTGGAGAACACATCCAAACCTCCAGCACACTTTTAGATGACTGTAAAGCCCGGAGAGGGAGAACGAGTTGGAAAGGAGAGGAGGGATGGAGCACGCTGCCAATGAGCGGTCACGACGACCACTTTCTCCCCCAAAGCCCATCTTTCTCCTCCGCCTCTTTCTCACCCCTCCCTGAAGGTGCTGCGTTATAAAACCAGACCGAAAACTACACACACTTTTTTTGGGGGAGGAACTTGTGTGTCGTCGCTGACTGGTTCTGTGTGTGTTGACTGGACTGTCAGATTCTCTAAGACTATCATTAGCATGGAATTCACACGGGCCCCACCTGCCTGCAAACACACACGCAGACAAACACGAACATGCGCACGCACACACGTTTGTTGAAACATCCTGTCGGAACTTTTCCTTGCTTGATTGTTATTTTTGTGTAAGTACGCTTTAGATTTTTGACTAGGAGTGACAGCCCTTCACCACAGTTGCATACAGTGTAACAACAGGCGTGCCACAGAAGGAGGCACAATAGAATCGAATTGTACCACTGAGAAGATAATCTTTAAAAGGAAAAGAAGCAAGCCTATAATTTTCCACTGTCTTATAGGTCTAACCGTAAGAGCCTAAAATTAAAGCAGTTCGAGGTGAACAAGCGTCTTCTGTTTTCAAGCTAGTTGCCATGACGCCAACAGGAATTTAATGCCTCAAATTAGGAGCAATTCTGAGCTGCTAAAAAACAGAGAGGCTAATGTCAGCAGAAAGTAACAGCTGTTAACTGCAGCTCGGTAGCAGATTCGTTCAGGAAAAATTAAATGTTCAATTTAAGGAGATAAAAGTCTCCTTCACCAACTAATATGCCTTGGGGGTTATTTGCTTGTTATGACTCTGCATTAAAATCCAGAGTGACTGCTTCAAAAATGCAGTACAGTACTTCTTGTCAGATGTGAGCATGTTTGTAAATAGGTGATGAATTTTAGCAAATTAAAAACAAGCATCTGGGAGCAGGAACAACCACAACAACAACAAAGACAATAAATAAAAATGAAACAAATGCAAGCAACAGTTTTTCCATGCAGGTGTCAATAACGCATCTGAAGTTCATACTCAATCGAGTGTCATGGACACATCATTACATGTCTTTTATTATACCAATATTCTTAGTTGAAGCAAAAGGTTGAAAGAACCTGATCACACATGGCCTGTAAAGTTCTCTACTCTGTGTGTGCTGTGTGTTACCAGCAGCCTTTCCTCCTGCTCCAGCCACCTCTGATCCTCCTCCATCTGCTGCTGCTGTATCATCAGCTGTTCCTCCATTAACAAGCACTGCTGGCCTACACACTGCTGCATGTCTACCTCCCTGTCCTACACACAAACACGGACAGACATCCACAAAGACGCCACACGCACGCAAAAGACGAACACACAGACACACACACACAAAAAGACGGTGCACGACAGTAAACATGCAATATAGGGACAAATGAATGAAGACACATGCATATACAATATATAAAGGTACACAAAACCAACAGGAAACTGATGGGAAGCTGCAGCAACACAGTGGGCAGACAATGAAACAAATGGATATGTATGGGTTGATGGTGATTCAGAAATCAATGCCACATCAACGCACACTACTCACAAAAAGTTCAGCATATTCCGCTTTTGGTTGAAATTTTAGGATGAAGTAAAAATTCAAAATCAACTATTAACAGGTGAACATTTGTAAACTTTTGAAACCCCTTCTAACTGTTCCATGTCACAGTTCTTTTTGCCCTTGCGACTTGCCGTTCTTTAACACAAAGCTTCACAGAAAAATTTACAACAGGCATTTGATCCATGAATGGACCAAAACATTTCCAAGGATGTCCACATCTGTGCCTTTCTGTAACTCTTCCAGTCTATCTGTATCTCTGTTGAAGCCTGCTGATGACACTCTGTGACATTAACAGCAACCCACCAGACTTCTTGTTCCGTCTCCTCATGCTAATTATTTCTGTCTTGTTTATGTTCCTCTGAACGGGTTGTAACTGGGAAGTAAATTCCTTTTGTGTTTTTTGGATAGATGGCCAATAAATCTTCTTCTGATTCTGATTAAGCTCGGTGGCCAAGTCTTAGAACATCCTGTTTGAAGCCTCGCAATGGTGACGTGGTGATAATCAATTGCAGGTGGTAATCTTTGTCTCATGATGTCAAAATAGGAACAGCATGATGCAGATGACTATCTATATACCAATGTTAACTGATCCAGGAAATGCATTCTTCAATCAAAAACCTGTTGTCAATTTTGGAGCCGTTCAGCTCTTTGTTAGAGAACAGTAAGTGGTGCAAAAAGTCCTAAAACACGGAACTGTTGGAAATATGTAGTCAAAAGTTGAAAGAAAAAAAAAAAAAGATTAAAGAGCATTTTAAGTTCATCCTGAAATTTTACCAAATGCCAAATGTCTCCAACTCTTTGCGGGGAGTATGTTTCTCTCTGCTTTCAATGATGGAGCACCCGTAAGATGTTTCTCGGGCATGAGAGGAGTAATTTGCTCTGTCCAACAAGATTAAAGACAAAAGCTGGTCTCTTACCTCCATAGCTGAACCCCAATGTGCCATGTCCTGTCCATGTGCCTGAGGGAGGTGCTGTACATGTGAGTGTGTATGGACATGGTGACGCGGGTGCGTGTGGGCGTGATGCGTTTCCAGCATTGTGGCCTGCGGGGGGTAAAGGGCACTGGGCACTGACGGAAGGGTGTGAGGGCCAGGGTAACCTGCCATCTGACGCAAGCAGGGAGGACAGGAATAGGCAATGAATATATGTAGAATATAACGAATGAACCACGTTCTCTGCAGAGTTCACTTGAGGAAGAAGCAGTTTACATACCTGGTAGTGTCCGGGGTGCTGGGCACTGGGGTAATAGCCTTCACTTGAGCGGGGACTGGGGTAACCTGGTCTGCTCGGCTATGGTGAGAGGAAAAGATAAAGCAGATACAGTCTGTAGTTACAATGCATGTTAATCGACTTTATACCTGAAATAATTTTTAGAGGACAGGACACTGGGTCATTAATGCTAAAAACAAACAAAGCTCCCAGTTTGTCAAGCTATTAGCTGCCAAATAAATGCCAAATAAAGCAGAGAATAACCAGAGGCTGAGAGCACAGCAAGCTGTATCAACAAGCATAACAATAAGATGGCTCGTTAGATGCATTTTAGAGTTATAAAAATTCACTGTGAGTGAAGGAAGACATGGTGGCATGTGATGTTACAGCTGCAAACGGCCATTCCAAGTCATTTGTCTTTTGCACCACACACAATCAGATTTGCTAAGACCACCATCTACTGGTGCATGACGGTAGCAGCTTGAAAACAGCACACAACAGGCAAACGCTTTTTAGATCCCAGACGAATGAATGTGTTTTGAACGGTAACGTGCATATCGTAACGTAAACTTGAAAACAATGTAGATGATGTATTCCTAACCTATGTCATTTTTTTGCACATACATAACTTAAAGGTCAACAATTTTGGACAGTTTGCAAAAAAGTGTTCCGTTTTGGTGGGAACCCCCCCCCAACAACTAAAAAGGTCTTTGTGAGAAACAAAGGGTCCCAATTCTTTCCCATTCCCTAGCATATCTTAAAAAAGAAAAGAAAACAAAAGTGTTGAGCAGCAGTTCAGAAGATTTGTGGCAGAATTCATTGCCGGCACACAGACACATTGATCACTATAAAGTTGAAAGTGCTGGGCTGACATACAGAAACATTGCTGCCACAAACACATGTCACGAAGACTTAGAACCAGTCTGAAATGTGGCTGTAAAACGGTTTGAATGTGATGTGCTGGCTAGCAGACAGCCAAAGTTAATATGATTTTGTTCTTCAATGTTGGTTCACTGGTGTGGGACACAGTCACATGAACTGCCCACATTGATGTGAACGTTTGTTCCCATATTTTAATTTGATATGTGACATCTCGAAAATGATTGCAGGTTTGTAAGGCTAGTGGAATGAGGATTTGGAAAGACATTCTGAGCAAGCTAAACATAGGGGGTGATAATCTGAGGGCACATCAACGCAAAGCCTAACACAGACATAAATAAACAACTGACATGAGATGAAACACCACTAAGGTCAATCAGCAGCACGCTGGCAGGCTGAGCACAATCATGCCGACTTCACAGCGATGCCGTTTTCTTCTTCAAAGTCACTCCATTGACCTACAAATAATTTGCTTTGAGATTGAAACAGGAAACTTTTTTGAATAGATGGGAAAGATGGATGAAGTATATCACGCCAGTACGACCATCATTTGTTTAAAGTCGACTTCTGTGCCCCCCCCTTTACTCTTTCTGCTCTGTTTCATTTGAGTCTGTATTTCAGTCTTGGTTATTTTAAATTGCGCTACTCTAATGTAATATCAGATGTATAAAGGAATTGTATGCTTTGTTCTTTCATTGACTGTATGGACCTGTGAAATCACAATAAAAAAAAAAATTAAAAAAGAATTGAAAAAAAAAAGGAGCAGAGATTGATAGAGATGTAAGGTATATACTGTACTTGCAGTGTCACTGACCTGATTTAAAGGGAATGTTGCAATGTTTTAGAATGCATTTCTATAAGCAAGTCAGTAGTAGTTTTGGAATGCACATTATTGCAAAACTGCATAACCTGCCTCCAATGGTCTATGAGCAGGTAGCGTGCAGGAGGTGAGACGAGATGTGTAGGCAAGGCAATGAGGGCCTGGCCTTTGGTCGGGTGGATGAGGAACATTGGTGAACAGAGTACAAACAGACGGCACTGGGATTGGTTTGTCAGAGTGTGGAAGAGCAAGATGGGGATGCAGGGGCCTGGCACACTGAGGCTGGAGGTTAGAGGCAGGTTGGAGGTGGACTGTAACATTAGTTGGGCAGCTGGGCAACAGAGCACTTTTACATTTGGAATTTGTCTTGAGAGTGGCGTTCTGGAGGTTGAAGGCCAAAGCATTTGACAAGACAAAACTCTGAGAATTGCAAGTAGGAAGGGAAGGGAGTTGGTTTAAGTGTCCTACAAGGAAAGGGGAGCTGTTTGCTTTCGAGTGGGATGAACAGGGCGGGTGGTCTTCAGAAGGGGGATTTGTTTTGTATGCGCAGCTGCCTTTGGTCAGGCTCTCTGAATTTTTAGGTCGAGGACAGAAATCAGCATGAGACTGCAGGTGGACGCTGGACCCTGGGTTTGTGTGGCGCTGGGAGAAAGAGCAACTGTGATTCAAAGATCGCATGACGGTTTTGTTGTGAAAAAGATGCGACTCAGAAGGAAAAGTGGCACAATGATGGGAAAATATGAGTGATGAAATGGGAGGCGGTATGGGAGAGGAGTAGCAGGTAGGTGAAAGAGGAGGATGTCCGAGGCAGAGGGAAAGCTGTGAGGCAAAGTGCTGGTTTTGATGGCAATGGTGTAGAGGGGAAGCGGACAGACAATCCAGACTGAAGGTGGGCTGCAGGGAAGGACGACGACTGGGCTGCAAACACAACAGAAAGAAAAAAGAAAGAGGAGGCACAAGCGCATAGAAAATATCAAAGGTGTGTGGGAGGAATGCACACATGGGGAAGAGGCTAAATCAATGACAAAAGTGGACTGTTAACAACCTTTGATTGGTTAACTTAAAGAACTAAACAGACACCAGTCAGGGTAGCATTCGCATATGCATTAGTGAAGCCATTGATGACATACTCTATGACTTTGTATTTAAAACTATAAGGGGGAGTTAACAGATGTTAACAGCAGGGGAACGATGGCTGTGAGCAGGGATAAAGTAGCCAGCAGCTGGGGCAACAAGTTGGGAGGGTTTTCGTGGAAGGCGGGCTTAGGTTTTCTGACTCATGAAGTGCAAGTGGTAATGTCACATTTTCCAGTTACAGTACTGAAGGAAACGGTGGTGTAAAGAAAAATGGCTTGATCGGAATCTCATACGTTGCACTTTGAGTCGTGAATTGGGTGAAGGAGCAGCATTATAGGAAGCGGCATCAATACAGGCCAGTCAGTCACAATAGTGAATCAGCTGTGATTCAAACTATATATTCACTGTTTTCCTCTATGTTTCCACACTCAGTCATGTGAAATGAATCTGGAAGACTGAAGCAAAGGCAAGCGAGTGGTTGACTTACCTTTGGGGGTGCCTCATCAGACCCTCCCGAGTCCCAAGATACAGTGACCTGCCTCCTCATTTCCATCCTGTTCCTCTCCTTCTGCTGGGCCTTCTCCTCTTCTAAAATAGTACTGTCAAAAGGGAGGAAAGACAACATGAGAAGGGTTTCGGTTGCATGGTAACGGCTGCACTCAGGCAGTAGGAGTATTATAATCCAGTATTGCAATTGAGAGGAAACCTGTACTTTAGAGTTTTGGTCCAATCTATCTGGTTGAGTCCCCCACGATTGTCTTTTTGTTGTCAAACATGACAAGCGTAATGAAAAACATAATAGCACCCGAATCGATCGACAATAATCAGGTTTTTAAGACTGGACCGCCGTACAAACACTAGCGATAAGTGATGCACCTTTACAGTCAAGCAATCTTTGAAACGTGTTTCCACATGAGCGCACCTCTTAATTAAACAGAACATTGACTCCATAAAAGAGAGCAATAAAAACATTCATCACCGTATCTTAACGTTAAACCAATCAGCTTCAGATATGTTAACTTTTTCATATCTTACCGTATAACTGTGTGCACAAATACAATTTCCTTGCTACATTAGCTCTTACTGAGTTCGGGGGGGAAAAATGCTAAATAAATAAAATCAGAAAGATTCCCAGAGGAGCAGAAGAGATGATGTTTCGGGTAGTTGGACGTTTGGGTGCATGTTCTACACTCATGCCCTCAACAAGACTAAATGCTATTTTGAGAAACATCATCATCATCACCCCCCACCCCCACATTTTCTGTTGTCTCCGGCCATGTGTGTTTGCACGTGTCACTGCACCTGTCTAAGTTCATCTGCTGGCAGGCCTTGTTCTTTATTCGCATTAGAATGCACATTTATGTAAGTCAGTGGGGACAATCCCAGTCAGGTTTAAAAATAAAATACATTGTAAAAACAAGAAATTATATTTACTACATTCTTATTCTTTAGGCAGCCATTATGGGTGAGCATCATTTTTAGGTTCGGTCTGTGTTTTGTCATGAGCAAGCTTTCTCACTAATTCCTTACATTAAGCTTATCTAACTAAATCAATGCGTTACATAAACCTGCCTCACTCAAGCAAATCAAATCATTGAGGAGGTGCAACGATGATCACTTCACCTCCTAGCAACATGAACACTCGTTCCCACCAACACCACACCGCCATCTGGAACAACAAGGTCTGTTTATTTACACAGGCCAAGGGGAAAGCTGAGTCTTCAATTTTGTCAGAAACCCCAACTTTGTTTTTATGCTGTTCTCACCTGAGAGCTGTCCAATGTAAACTCTAGTGGCAACCAACGGACAGCGTAAATTAAAAATGCTGTTCCTATACACCTCTCATATTCTAAAAGTGTACTGAGCTTAAAATCTATGACTGTATGTAATGCAAAATACATTAGCAATACCATTTTTCTACGTACAAGGACAAGAGATTTGATTTCATTTGCTTTGTTTTAACTTTAAATGACTTCAATAAAAATCCACACATTGACACGGACAAAAATGTGTATCACAAGAAAAAACAAAACTAATCAAAGACACCCTAATTTCAAAATTCTATCTTTGGTACTGCAGATGTGTACCCGATTTCACTTTTAGAAACACTTTAAATAACATGAATAATCCCTAGAACTTGTTCAGATTGCAGATGCTCTGAATGTTTAATCACGGTTTAGTTTGAATGCCTTCTCTTGTTACATATAGTCAAAGGACGCCAAAGAGGAGGAAAATGCATTACCCCTCAGCACATCTTGGGACATTTTGCCAGTTTATACGAAGATACAGGCTTTGATGATAGAGAAATGTTGAAACCACAGTTTTTCCCCATTGCTTAGAAAAGGGCCACACAACTCCTAAATTCAACAGTATAAAAAGTAGCCATCTTTGTTTAATACACGCAGCATAAGGCAATCACTAAATACAGTACCTCAGTTGGAGTAAATTGGCAAACACGTCACAACATTTGTTAGTTGTTGAAAAGAAAGACAAAGAAGGCAAGACTTTACCTCAAGAGCGGGACAATATAATTGCAGCAGTGCATCCACTCAACATTTACAGCCAATAAAATCCACTAATGAGGTGCACTGGGGTACCAAGCTGAACAACCGCAACAATTTCTCCATCACTAACAAGACAAAACACGATTCTTCTGGCAGGTTAACAGTAATATGCTATAAAGCAGCAGAAAAAAAAAGATCACATGTCTCACAATGGAAGAAAAAGAAGTCTGACTACTGGAGAAGAGCGCTACCAAAGACCCGCTTACGCCTTCCTTTCTTGCACTCATCTCGCTCACTATTCTGTCTTTCTCTGTTTTCGTTGGCAAGCTGCAGCCCCTGGCAGCTGCCCACTGCGCGCGCGCGCACACACACACACACACACACACACACACACACACACACACACACACACACACACACACACACACACACACACACACGTCAGTCCTCTGTCGAGTAAAACTGTTAGGGAAGCTGAGAGCTGCATATTTGGCAGGCAAGACCTATAATTGATAATATGATATAAATGTTTTCCAGACCAAGAGAGAACCAAACTCGCCTAGACCCTTAAAAGCATTAGTTTTTCCAGCCAATGACTTGCATGAGAATTAATGACCCTCTCAACAACAACTCCATTAAAAAAAAAAAGAAAAAAATGTAATCAACATTTTGTCAGTTTTGCATCACTTTGAATTCAGACCATTAGGTCAAGCCATCAAACACATGCCGTGTTTGTGCAAGATGAATTGGACTTCTACTAAATTGTCCACAATGTAGCTGGATTAAAATAAGACTATCAACACAAACAATGAAGACAACGAGATTATGATGACTCAGGGTTTAGCCCCAATGCGGAGGAATTGGGTGTAGTAGAGTAAGAAAAAGTAACAAACAAAACCGGAGGTATCACACTGGAATTTAAGGTGTGAGTCATGCTGGTTTGGCGAAATCTCATATAAACCACAGCAGTTAAAAATGTGCGCTTATTTCCTTTTTTCAGTGCTTGGAAAGGAGACCGAAAATACATGTGTGCATCAAGGAAACTTTGTGTTGCACCGTGGTGCTTTTTTTCCCCTCTTTTTACTATGTACAGTGCATGTGCATAACCTAACATTAAGCATGACCAAGACAGACGCATTTTGATCAGTCTCATGGCATCATCTGTCATCGTGAGCATCATATATGAATCTAAACATGACAGTGATTTCGTAATGAAGAGGGAGGGACACAGTTTAATGTGATTATATATCTCACATACATTCAGTTAAGTCTTGTGGAATTAATTACTTGACTGTACAGAACCACAGTGACACCTGCTGTCTAAAATATGGAAGAGATCTTAACTGTCACATAGGTAAAACTGCCTTTAAAATCAAATAGGTCAATCAAATCAAGTAAGTAAATGTGTTTATTTGTTCATTTATTTATTTGTTTGTTTGTTTTATCCAGTCTTGGGGCCGGCAACTGACCAGGAATCGGACCCAAACCATCTGCACCAGAAGCAGCAGCATGTACATTACCAGTACATCACCAGTGAATCCAAAGAAAACATCGGTATTTTCTCAAAATCAAAAAATTAATATACTAAGTAAGGCGGCAAATAGCTTGGGCCAGGGGAGGTTAGGATTAAGTTTGAGGAATAAATATGGCCATACTTTACGTTGTCAGAGATTTACTGCGTTAGTATGAATCAGTAATTAGTTCGCTTGGATTGGAAACTGAACAGAGCAACATCATAGCCACAGTCTTATAGTCAGTTGAGAAAGGTGATGCATATCCCAGAGCGGTCAAGACAAATTCAAACATATATAGATATATTTTTTTGTAACCACTCAAACCATATCAAAGAAATACCTGAGCTGTGTTTTCAATTCATTGAAGCGTGGCCTCTTGCTTGGATCATACGACCAACACTTTGTCATCAAGCTGTATAGGGTAGGGGGGCACTGAGGGGGCATGGCTAGTCGTTCGCCATTCTCTATCCTCCCAATGACGTCGTTGTTTTTCACACCTTGGAAAGGCTTAATGCCATACATCAGAATTTCCCACATACAGACACCTAGACAAAGCCACACAAAAGAGCAACAATGAACCAAATATTAGCGTGAGTAAATGGTGTACAGAATCAGCTATTATTCAAATCTGAATCATTTTTCAGGTACAAAATATTTGGTGTATAATGCAGAACTTACCAAACATCCAGACATCACTGGCTGTGGTAAATCTTCTAAAATTGATGGACTCGGGAGCCATCCATTTAATGGGCAGTTTACCCTTGGATGCTGAAGATAGAAATGGGAGCTACTGTTTTACCAAAGTCACTTTCCAGATCGCTCTCTCTAATGAAGAAGACATAAAGGTGGCATTCTTACCTTTATAGTAAGAACTGTCTTCCATGTACCTTGACAGACCAAAATCACCCAGCTTCACACAGTCAACAGTTGATACCAGGACGTTCCGTGCTGCTATATCTCTGCAGAGGAAAAGCATAAAAAAAGTCTCCAGTGGGTGGCGATAATCATGAATGTCACAGTCCTACAGTATTTTGCTTCAGGGATTTAACTAATAGTTCCACTAATGCAAAGCAGATAAGAACTGGATATTTGTGCAACACTACCCAAAATCGTAAAAATAGTAGCTGAAAATGTTTCTTGAGTATCTACTGTATCAAAATACCCCATTTAGTGAGCATTGAAATTGGGATAGCTCACCCATGGTGGGTTTACCTGTATGTACTTTACTGATTGATACTGGAGGTATTGCTAGTTATATTTCTATTCCAGACATTAAGTCATGAATGTCCAAATCAATTTTTAAAAAAAGACCGCAGATAAGGTAACACACCTGTGCACAAAGCGTTTGCTCTCGAGGTAGGCCAATGCCATGCTGAGCTGATGGGAATACAAGATGAGAGTGGCCAGGTCTAGACTGTACTTCCTCACTTGCAGGAAAGAACGCAACTACGGAAGGCACAAAAGAACAAAACATATTAGAGTACGATATACCATCATATGTAATATCGTATGTAGTTATTTTACCTCTCCGAGTGTGCAAAGCTCCATAATGATCCAGACTGGATTCTCTGTGATGACGCCCATCAGCTTCACAATGTGAGGATGGTCAAACTGACGCATGGTTACTAGATGAGGTGACAAGGTGGCTGCTTGATCATACGCTCCAAACACCCACATCTTGCTCTTCAACAAACACACATGAAAAGCTTACGTGCTTCTTGGAGAAATTTCTCCCTGACGCTGTCTGATGTTGAATTCTTACACGTCTTCACCGCCACAGACAATGCCGGATTCTCCTGCAAAATACGGACGAACCAAAACATGAAAAATTGCACTAAATACTATTGTAGGTAATTGTTCGCTCTCTTACCCGGCAGCTTCATCATCATCATCACCCGTTGACCGATACACTCACTAAAATCTAACCTCGGCTGTCCCGCTGATCAGCTCATTTCTAATCCTATACATCCTGGTCACTCCTAAAGAAAATCTCACCATCTTAATGTGTAATTACTGGTGATTGTATTCAATCCGAAGCATTATTGTAATTAAAGAGAAGAGGACCCAAGATCACGGAGGGTAATGTTAATTACACCAGTTAAGGGATTTGGATTATATTCTCAAATTAAACCCTTTATCTGTAGCCACGGGCCCACTCACAGTGGAGGATATTTCAGTACAGTCAAACGAGTTCTTTTTAAGATTCTTGAAGTCACCATGTGCTGAACATGGCCTCACACAAAAAGAATGATGTCCCTTTTGTCTTCTCTTGTGGATGTCTGCAAGTGTCCTGAGCGCAGAGATGACTTTAATTTTATTTGAAAAAAGTGGCAGAACACCAAGCAATAAAAGGCGAGATACAGTACCCCTTGTCTGATCTGCTTTTATGATTTCCAGTATCTCTTCCATTAACAAAACCCTTCACGTAAATTGGCACACACAGGCAATAAATAGTATACGATTCATCATAAAACTTTACAACTGAAATAAAATCTTCTCCTATGTGTTTCTCTGTGTGTACTTACCGGGCTGATGTAGACTCCTTGGTGGACGTCCCCAAACTGACCCTCACCGATGCAGCGGCCCAGTTCAATATGATCCCGTTGAATTTCATAGTCCTGTGCTGAATATACAATATACACATGAACACAAGCACACACAGACACAAGGTGAAGACAATTAGAACCAAACATACATACCAATGCTCACACACTTACTAAGCTTGTCAGAGCACCACGCACAGGCTTATCATTTGAATGCGATGAAGTGCGCACAATATGAGTTCACATTAACTATTGTATGCAGGGTGCGTAGAGTTTTACCCTGCAGCATGTCGTTTGCTGATAATAAGTTTGACACTGGATTACTTGTCAATGAATGAATTCGTCCATCTACTCTGGCAAGCTTGGTAGCAGTCTGCATGCAACAACAGCATCAGCAATTCAAGCCGAACATGCCGGGTAACAAAGTTTACATTTTTGTTTCAGAGCACGATGTCATACACAAATTTGTACTGTATGTTTTACTCAGGGCAAAAAGTCAAGGTCACGGTGTATGTGAGAGTCAGTAATATATGCTTGATCCATAGTGATTTCATTTTTCTCTGCTTGTTCAAGTTCATTGCAATTTTGTTATCAAAAAGAAACAGTGAAAATGTTGATTCCTTTTTATTTATTTCCTTTTTCTATTGAAATTCATGTTCAAGACAAGGGGGACCAATTTGCCCCCTAAGTGACAATACAAATGTGAACACAAAGGAGGAGGGTTGGGGTTGCACAATAAAACAGTACGGTACTTTCAGATGTTCATTTACTGTTGCAGGCAGACATTAAACGATAATCACAACCACCACCAAATCAAAGTACCACCACAATATAACTATTCGGATAGTATGTTCAAATCATTACCTTGATCTAGTCCATAGTATTCTGAGGAAATTGGTTATTGATAAGAGACAAAATAACTAGCTGTGAATACAATGACCACAAACCTTGGAATATTTCAGTGATTGTTGATTTGACAAGGAGCAATTTAAGAAAGAGATGCTGCAGGTGTTAGCATAGAAATATCTTGAGGAAAATTGTTACATAATCTTGTGACACACAGATAATACAAAAATATAATGCGGGTCTATAAATATACAGGCAATGTGAGCTTTAAGTGTTCCCCTTTCTAGGCAAGATTACTCAATCTGACAACAGCACTTGTTTTTCCAAACTTTTTTTTAGTATTCAGTTCATATACTGCACCAGGTTGAGAACCTTTTTCGGCACCACTAATTTATTTGAAGATAAGGACAAGAAGTTTCACTTTGAGAGTAACCAAAAGACATATAAAAGCCGAAGCAAATCATAGAAATGCTCCAATACTGTACCTTAATTTAATAATGACAACAAAAAGTAGATAATAGTTGAGCGCATACACGCACACACACATACATACATACATACATACACACATATATATATATATATATATATATATATATATATATATATGTATGTATATATATATACATACTATACATATACACACGCACACACATACATATACATACACACACCATATTATGTGTTCCAAAAATCTGATGCACGACGGGATTTAGAATTTATTTATTTATTTATTTAAAACTTAATCTCGTTTTGCGTGTGATTTTCTCATGTCTGAGGAATAATGACAGTATCTATTGATTTCACAGTCCAAAAATGTGTGCAATATTGTGCCACATGCATAGCCCCAGGAGAGACCAGAGGACCGGGAGATCCGTTTGAAGTGTTGATGAGCCATTTCAATGTTCTTCAATTCATATTACCCGAATTTATCTAAATTTTTTTTTTAATCCAACTATTAAAGCCCCTATTGTAACTCAGGTACAGCCGGTGTGACAGTTCAACAGGCTACAAGAATAACTACTAAACCGTTCCCGGTTACAGCTGTGGCTGTTAAAGTAATGTTAATCCAGTAATCTCGTTCTTCCTATAAGCAGATTCGTCACACAGTGACAGCAAAATTGGTCAACTGTATAACTTTTCAATCCATATGTGAAACGCAACAGCTCGTTTGCTACTCCCGATTGGCAACAAGGGATTATGAACATTGTAATTACTGGTGGAAAAAAGGCCTACGTTGGCCAGTCAGCCAATCATCAGTTTGTGTCTTGTGACGTGTCGCAAGACAATCTTATGTGTGTGTATACTGTAACAAAGAAGTGGAGTGAGCGCTGTAACAGCCATGCTAAACAACACTGCGACCTAAAACAAAATTTTAAGCAGAACGGCTCAAAATTTTATACCAAGAGAATACCACAATGATGTCGAGGCACTTTTGCTAACACAATATCACGATATTGTGGATTTTGTGACCTCCTAGTATAACGCACAGAAACAGATAGCTTATCTGACTAATTGAAGACAAGACTGAGAAAAATGTGATGGAGGCAAAATATTTTTCAACCCAAATTGAGAGATTTTCAAGGGGAAAAAAAATCGGTTTCAGCTGAGCAAAGGACACGCTAAATATGAGACGAGAACCACACACGCACGCTTATACATGCAACCCTTTTGGACATTGCACTTTCTTCATCACACTGTCATTGGATTCTCACATTGGTCTCATCATATCCACTCAGCAAAATGTGTATGTTGGTCTACTTACTTGAAGGCATTGTATAGGTGTCCTCCTCATCTATGATCTCAGCATAGTCATCTGTTTCTGTAGACAAAAAGGGAAAACGTAAGCCTCAAATGATGACCCATAAATGTTTAACTAAAATAAAATAGCATATATAAAGTAATAAACATTTTCTATAAAGCATTTTAAATGAATTAAAAAATGATTTGACACAGTTACCTGTCCAAAAGAATGCCACCATATCCAACTCCGAGCACATGCACAATAATTACTGTCAAACTAATACGCTTGCAAGTGCCGGGGACAGAAAAGAGTGATGTGCAGTGGTGAAAAGCAGACACAAAGAGGAAGAGGGAGGGATGGAAACGGCTGTTCTTTCCAGAATGTGTCACAAAAACAGATTGAGTCATGGAGAAAGCGGCATCAGTTACAGACACACAGATTCTTTCAATGCATGCAGTAGAATCCAGTTAAGCAGGAATGTAAAAGAAAAGACATTGTTTACCATCGCCGCTATTGTGCCCTGTAGAAGCCACATGCAGCAAAAGATGCATACAAAGAAGGGAGGAGAGAATTTGAAAGATTAGTATGCATGAACCGTTAGGAGTTGGACCACTATCTTGTGTTGCATTGCATTACATTGATTCTACTCTTGCAGTCATTTTCACGATGTTGCATAATTGGGAGCTAGTCAGACGTTAAGAAACCTATCAAAGCTTAGGATGTCAAAGATAAGTGGCAGTGACTAAAGCTCTCCATGCAAACATATGGCGTGAAAGAGACACTTCACTGCAAACAAAGAAGGGGCTTCAGAGGGCAAACAGGGGACACACACACACACACACACACACACACACACACACACACACACACACAAGTGTCTACAAAGCCTTCACTCACTCAGCAGTCATTCAGAGCATTAAATTTAGCAGAGGATGCCAGAGACTGAAGGAGAAGGCCACAATGAGTGCTTTACCTGACACACAAACTGCTCTCGTTCGTACTCCATCCATCCGTTTTTCCATCCGCCTCTCATGATTTGACACTCTGCATCGGAAAAATAGAGTTAGCACCCAGCCATGTGTTGCAAACATTCATGTTGATGATGAAATAAGAAACCTGAAAATAGAGTGTTTAGATTTTCTAGATGGGAGTGAGTATATTCTCCAAATGTCAGTGACTTTTGTTTTTTATTAAGAGCTAGTTTATCCTACATAACACCCATACTTTGCACTGCTGGTGTATTTAAATTACCATAAAAAAGTATTGGGAATTGTAGAATGTAGAAAACATTGTCATACTTACTTTGGGATGGATGGTAGCGCTCTGGTATCCCCCTCTGCAAGACAAAATAGAGCTACCATGGTGAGTGCGAACACATCACTGCTTGCAGGCAGTTATTTTTAGAAAAAGAAACGCAGGAAGGGTATTCAAAGTGACAAGCATCTTCAGTCAAAAGCAGAGTCAATTATCTGGTTGGATGACTGTAATGTCGTACAATATTGACAATATTTAAACACACTCACATCCATATTTTAGGTAATTTCCACAAAAGGCAACCATTGGCAATAAGCCTAAAATACACGGAAGTGGGCGTGTGTCCTACCCTTGTGGACTCTGACAATGAAGGAGTGGCTCGTTGAGGAAAAGAGTCGACAGTACCCATCAATCAAATCGGCCATGTTTTCTGCTGTAGTCAAGGATGCTGTGGTGACTGTGAGAGGCTGTGCATACACACAAAACATGGACACATTAGTCTGTTAAGCAGCACTATTTTATTATAAGGAACATCTTCCGAGTGGACACATCCAGACACATTGTGTTCACCCGTGCACAGAAAAAGACAGTCACGACGTGACGCCAACATGTTTTGCAAACACAGTGTTCTGCAAAACACCCACCGTTGACGTAGACATGCTGACATTGCCGAGATCTTTAGAAGTTACAATGGAAATGAATGATTCACAAGCATGTGATGGTGGTTACATGCATAGGTTACACAACAATTCTGATGGACTTACCGTCATTGTGAATAATGTCTATCTATATAAATTTGTCATTTGAGCATTTATGTGTGACAACATGAGGGACTACTACTGTGTGTGTGTGTGTGTGTGTGTGTGTGTGTGTGTGTGTGTGTGTGTGTGTGTGCGTGTGCGCGCGCTGTCACCTCTGGAGCTCCAGCTACGTTGAGCTGCAGCATGCCTTTCCTGTCCTTTTCTTCCAAAGGTGAATACTGGATGGATTGAACCTGGTTGAAGTTAGCTAAGTGGGTAGGCTGGAGACATAAAAATAAATCACAACTTATTATCATTAAGTATCAATTTTAAAACATCAAAATACGAATTGAAAAATGTCAACTGTACATGCAAGACAAACAAGTAGAGGGCAGTGTTGTGAACAACCATGAAGGCTCAAAAAGGAACATTGTTGGAGAAGTTGACACTGGACCCAAAGTTGACAGGATTTACGGAGGTATTTTATGTAGCACATGTGCAGAAATCAAATATGCTACATGTAACTGTATGCTATACTCCATATTGACTCAGAATTGCAAGTCATGTAGAAGCTGATAAGACTCACCGTTGAGCCCTTGTCTGTGAGGTAGCTGATTCCTTCCTCTGGTCCGATTGCTAATTCGACTGATATTACCCAGCTAGACTGAAAAAACAGAGAGAACAAGCACATTACAATATGTCTACCGTATATCAATTTATTTAGCTATGCGAGAGGGACAAACACAAGAAGCACCTTTCATCATGACGCAATACATTTCACTGTAAAGTACAACTGTAAGAACTATATTTTAAAATCAATACCTCTGTTCCCACCCAATGAGGTGCCCAGTGAGAAACTAAAACTATAGGACAAATGTTCTAAACTGACTTTGTTTGATTCTGGTAAGTCATTAACATGATAGCATTCCACAGTGAGAGATAAATAAATTCCGGGCTTCTACCAGAATGACATGGTGTGGCTGGAATATGTGTGAATGACCTTCACAACTCATCTAACATGGATAACATTTGGACTCGATGAAATGAATGCTCTGCCGTACCCCCAATGCACATTTGAAGCACTCCTTATCAAAGTGGTAGATGGGAGAGATGATTTCAAAAAACTTGTGGATGCTCTGCTCATCGTTGAGGTTGGCAAACTGCTTGAACGTCTGCTGGATATGCTTACGAAGTGTCTTTGCCTGAGAAAATGGTGAAAGAGAGACATTCAAAATAAGATTAGAGTGGTTCCGCAAGTTCCAAACTTAATTCGTTCGGTGACCCCACTCGTGACGTTCGTAAATCAAGGTAACTTTTGCCGTTGAAATGAATGGTGGTGCACTTAATCCGTTCCAGCTCCCAATTGTTATATTGATATGGACTTCAGTCAGTCTGGTTCCATGCTGACTGCATGGAAATCAGTTGAGTGAAGAACTATATCTGGGCCATGTGTCTGAGACAAACGTGTTCAAGTTGATCTTATAATCAGGTATTCCAACATCAAGTCAAATATCCTTTCCGTCAACATTCATTCAAACAAACAGGGCAGCAGAAAAGGCCAGATGGCAATGAGCAAGGACATTCCTGCTACAGTAGTGATTGTTTTGATTGTACCTTTAGAGACTCCAGCAGGCTTTTGGGGAAGAACCTTCTCAAACCAACATCTTTCCTAAAGCAAACAAAGGCATCACAAAAAATGACTTTGGATGATTAAATAGTCACACACATTAGACAATGTAATTAAATATATGTTACTCTAGGAGTTCATAGTTGGATTTCTTGTCAAGGGCATTTCCTGGCATCTCTCGGAAGAACCGCCTGTATAGTCGAGAAATGATGGTCACAACCAAGAAAAACATTTTAGGTAAGCCAACAGGTTCCTTTTCAGTGAATACACAGCCTTCTCTCTCACCTTATTTCTAGACAGCCTAGTTTCAAAGCAACCTCTTGATCGACTTGATCAGCGATATGTTGCATGTAGTCACTCTTTACCTGTTGAAACAAAGTGTGAAAGCACAACTTACACATTTGATTGGTCTATTTAAGTAGGTCTTGGTTTTATACAGGGCGCAAAGTGCTGAAACAGAAGCTTTGTGGACTTCTTATTCTGTGGTGTCACACCTGGTGATAGAGGTAGTTGAGCGAAGGTTTGTCTTCTGAGAAATGACTGAGGTAACCTTTAGGAAAGTAGCGCATCCGTAGCTCATACCTGAGAATTGAAGAGAGAAAGTTAACGACAGTGCAGACGTTATGATACTTTCATGCACAAAGAATATCACTGCAGCATCCTGATTCTGTGAGACAATGACACAGATTTAGAATTGACTAATTTTAGTTTATTTTAACGTCGCGTACATCTCAACAATGCACGAGTCCAGTGGGAGAAGAACATCATGTGGTTTCATATATTTATGACAGCGAAATACAGTTCAAACCTATGAAGCATGCGTACAGAAAGATCAGAAGGCAGCGTTTGTTCTAACGTGACGATGCAACTGACAAAGCAGTGACTGCCTACAAAAGAGGGAATTGGGTCAGGACAGTTGTGATGCTATGAGCCTACAAACAAAAGATAAGAGAAAAAAAAATCCAGGCTGAGAACAAAACGAATAAGAAAACCTTGTTTAATAATGAATGAAGCAAAAGGTGGCACAGAAAAGAGAAATTAGACACATTGGAAAGCTGAGAGCCAGAGAGAAAAATAAATGATGTGGGAGGAAAAAAGGATGCAGAGTAAGATCAAAGTGGAAAATAGTAAACCCTGCCACATGAGACAGATGGAGAGAAAGTCAGCGAAGGTAGAGAGAGAGAAACAGAGAGGGGTGTATGATAGAGTCAGTCTATCCCTTGGGCTGCTGTTTCCTCGGTTCTAACAATAGCTCAGCAGCAGCATGTCCTGTGGGCTTACAACTCTGCTACCCTCTGAGACACTACTCTTCTGCTATATGTTAGTTAGCAAAATGAGCAACTTCTCCATTTAACATTTCAACAAGGAGTAAAATGCATCCAGTGAAAGATGAAAAAGCTAAAACAAGAGGTACTGTATCTGTGCAATTATGTAGCGTTGGTTTAAGACGAGCGAAACTCAAGTGATCACGTGGTTCTTCCACCTCTGAAAACACACATCTTTTCAAAAGGCGCAACATATTGGGTAGCTTGCCCAAAACGCAAGAGATTCCAAAATAAACAAAAAAAATGCAAGTGTTTCAGGCAATTGAGGCAGGGTGACTCAGCTAATTATCCACTCAACATCTACATGTATTGTAAACAGTGGAGGAAATAACAACAAAGGAGGAAATAAAAAAGCACAATCACCAAAAGTGTGATTAAGATGAGTTTACAATACAACAAACAAATAAACAGTTATTTCCCATTTCATAGTGGATGACATTTCAACTTTGCTAGTTTTTCTTCTCAGCTACTTGTGTCTCAAATTAGGTTTCCTGAGCTCTTATGAGCTCCGATGAAAGGACTAAAACCGTAAAAGCGTAGCACATTTTCATTAACGCTTATTGTGAAATGGCACGATATACTATAAGTAACATTTACGTAACTTGACTATATTAAGCATCTTAGGGGTCAACTGAAAGTAAACCTTACACAGATCTGATCATCTGAATCGGATTGGACAATATTAAGCATTTTATACATTTTTTAACGTAGTGTAATATCTTTAATTTGCCGATCAATCAATGATGTCACTGAGAGACTCCACGAAATAAAGCATGACGGCTGCAGCAAAGATTTCCTTTAGGTTACTGAAAATTCAGTGCCTGAAATGACTTAAGTATCAACTGTAAATTTGGGAATCCGTCCTAATGATTTCACCTCAAACAGTATTGATCCCCTTCATTACTCGAGCAGGATTGATGGTCATTTCATCACTTTCACAACACGCCCTTTTTGTTGTCTTAGTGTATGTTTTGGCTGGGAAACACCATTTCATCTTGGGAAAAGCCTATGCATCATCATCACGGTCTTTTAAGTTATGGATTATGAAGCAACTGGACCATGAACATGGCAAGTGTTTTGTTTTTGTTTTTTTTGGTGGGGGGGGGTTCCCCCCCACGCATATTTCAAAGAACGTAACTCATGTTAATAATCAGTTCATGGGTAAATATGACAATAACTCAGAGTCCTACTTCACTTCATCCTGCCATGCAGGAGTTCCGACTCGTAAATCCACAAGTTCCTCTTTACAATAATTAAATCATCCTCATTACAATAATTTTGAAAAGGTTACAATTAAAGTACTGTATTTAGTTGTGATAAAATTAAATAAATGTGATACAGGACTAATTGGAAAGTAGGAATTGGTATTTTCAAGCAACATACATGTCAGCGTGGTAAGTGGTTTAAGGTATGTTTCAGGTTTCAAATGTTAATTTAGGATATTGTAAACATTTTTAGGGAAAGTGTTAGGAGTATAACGAAAACAAATCAGAAAATCGGTTTTGATTACACCAAACCAAATAATTTAAAAATGTTCCTTCCTTGAATCGTATCGCACCCTTTGTATTGATGAGGCATCAAATTGTCTTTTATAAGAGAGCTGCGCACGCCAAGTAAGTGACAGTTATTCTTGAATTGTTGCTATTCGCTTCGAATAGTAAGTGTAAAAAGTGTAATTGTTACTGTACCTCCACTCCTCCTGCGGATGCTGTTTCTCATATTTCTCCCTGACATGGCAGACTCCCAAGTCAGGATGTAACCAGTGACGTGCGTCTGTGTGCAGATGGGTTAAACGCAGGCCAAGTGAAGTGACACAGCGCAATTTGTGGATTTCGGCTATCTTCTGGATGACACCCTATTATAACAAGGGGGAATAATGTGAGGAGCAGAAGGTGATGATGAATGTCTAAAATTCAAATTATAATATACCCTGACATCCGTAGCATCTCCATGTCTGATATTACTCGCCCAGGTGCTGGGTTCACTATTTGTCTCAAAGTAGTGGAAGATCTTCAGAACCCTGTCCATAGAACCTGGAGTCCGCTCAAGACCGCCAGCAGAGCCGCTAGTACCAACACCAGTACCACCGGAAATCCCGGAGCGGGATTTCACTCCACACCCACTTGCTGCGGAGTGATTGAGGTTGGGCTCCAAATAGGAAGATGTTGCCATGCCTGACTCAGATGCTCTTACTGGGGCTAACTGGCCATCATATTCTGTTGATAAAAAAAGAAGACAGATGTTAAAATGAGACTTTGTAATTCAATTGCGCTTTAAAATCAAATCAATTCCATCATTGCTTGGTCTTAACAGCAGATGCCCACCAAAGCCTAAAACAGGGGTGCCCAAACTTTTTTCTCCGCATCCAGAAAAATGCAAGTTGAAATTCTTCAACTTTAAATTATGAAACACACTCAATCAATCAAACAAAACCAAAAAAAAGTCCTACTCAATATTGTATTTTGTATTGGTGAGTTCACAGACAGACAGCCGAAAGCATTTTTCAAAGCAAGTCTTTATTAACGATATCACCATTCCAAACACTCCTGCTTCCAGTCCCTTGGGCACCATTAAGTAAACATTGACGCAACATATCCAGTGATGATGATTGTTCATTTTTGTTGCATCATGTTTAATCATGGGAGATTTCCGTTTCAGAGGACTGGATTCGGTGGTGTAACAGACTTTTTATGTGTGGTGTTCTGTTTTGACCAAAAATGTGAAAGGCCAGATTTTCATTTATTTATTTTTATCATCATGTGTGGAATCAGGAACAGATATTCTTTGAAGATTTGAAAAATCCAGGTGTGGTCTTACTGATGTGTGTGCGTGTAGACAAAAAACAGTGAATGGCTGCAAGAAGGTCCACTGTTCATTCCACTTTAAACAAACACATGCAGATGGTGAGAGGCGGTTAGCTATACGAGAGATGAGGAAAACAAGCACACGTGCTCCGCATGGCAACATAGCAAGGCTAGGAAAATTCGGGTTTTGGTCCGGGTTAAAAATAAATAAATTAATTATTACCTAATTTGGTTGTTTGACTAACAATCTGGCCATTCTTGCTCTGTGCAATTATTGTTAGCGTGGCTAGCAAAATGTGAATCAGAAGCACTGACGTTACTGTTAGCCAGCTAATAGAATAGAAATAAAGTTACATTGAGTTGAGTTCTATCTGCTCTGTTGAGGTAGTTTTAGGTTTTATGAGCAGTTTTTTCCTGCAGTATACTAATGGTGGTGCAACTAGCAGAGTTGTGGTCGACTGTGATGACAAAGGTACTTCTAAGATGGTGGACTTAATAAGAATCGTGTGCACGTTTATCAGTTCTGAATTATAGTTTTAAGCAGAAAGTAGTAATTATTATTATTACTCGTGTAGTATACAAAAACTCTGATAACAAATAAACATGTATCTTTTAAAAGCTCATTCCACTCCAGGTTAGGCATGACAGTATGATAACCATGAGCAAAAATATCAGTTAAAATTACAAATATTAAAATTACAGATCTGTCCTTCTTTGAAATATTTTGGTGAATAAAAACTGCATTTTTTTTACCATTGAACACAATGTATATTATATTATTTTAAAATTAAATCTAGAATATTTGGTACATTAGGAATGTGTACATAAATAAGAGATGACATGGAGAAAGTTAAATGAATGCGTATTATTCTGCACTGCAGACTGCAGACCGTATTTTCACAACTATAAGGCGCCATTAAAAGTCTTAAATTTTCTCCAAAATGGACAGGACGCCTTATAATGCGGTGCGTGTTATGTATGCGCCGAGTTCCAAAGCCTGACTAAGAGCACCTCTGCCCGACACGCTGTTTATATAGAGAAAAGGTGGACGTGAGTGACGACAGGCATGCAGAAGTCGGCCAATGAGTGAAGGGTGGGCGTGTAAGAGGACGCTAAAGGCACGTCCCGAGCAGGTACCAGTCGCCAATGAGTGAAGGGTAGGCGTGTAAGAGGACGCTAAAGGCACACCCCTAGCAGGTACCAGTCGCGTGAGTACATAGTAAAATGGATAAATAAAGTACAACCGAACTCAGTTTTGCTTCCGTTGCCTTTTTAAAAACGTGTTTTTAGCGTGTGTCCGTATGTCTTAGCTGCTACCGTATGCTTTAAGCTAACATACCTGGTATGTTTTAGCGTGAATGCATGCTCCCGAATGCTTCAAGCTAACGTGTTTTTAGCGTGCATGCCGTAACCCATGTGCTGCAGTCGATCTAAATAAGTTTATATAACGCAACATACAATTTTACAAAAATTGTAAAAGTATTATTCCTGAATATTTATTTCACTTTCAACCACTCAACATGTTCACAGAAATAGCACCCGTTACTGAGACTGCGCCCAACAATACGGTGCGCTGAATGGTCGTGAAAATACGGGTATATTATAACTGGCAAGTGGAGGGTGAGGGCAATACTTCATATCTTATAATCAAATGCAATATGCTTGAAGCGCTGATAGTTTGTCAAATTCAGATGTACCGAGGCATAGCACTTAGGAGTAGGGAAATGTGTTTGGCCATATACACTGAATCACACACTGCCTGACTATGTGTTTGTGTGTGTGTTTTATACAAGTTACGAGTTGGCCCTTCAGCGAATGAGTCAGGGGCATCCGAAAAAAAACCACACTGACACAAGGTCCTTTTAGCGAGACCTAATAGACCCACAGTTCAACATAAATCAGGCAATTTTAAGTTGATGAATTCTGAAACAGGAGGAAATGCTGTGGTCCAAACTCAGAGTGGAAGTGTTCTGTGAGTAAAGGGCACACTGTGAAGCATTTCCTCTGCTCACACCTGCAAGACAGCTAAGGTGGCACTTTAAATCCGGCTTTGACAGAGGACATAATAGAAATGTCGAGCACATTCTGGTGTTCACTGACCTTTCCAAACCTCTTTCACTACAACTGAAGCAGAAAAACTATTGTCGGGTTTTACAAAAGCCAATTTTGTACTGTAACTCTTTGGAGGGAATATTCACACACAGCATCCACTTCCACAAATAATCTATTTTGAGAATTCTCTTACCATTATAAATTACAGTTCACAAATTACACAGTACAGTGTATCCTTCACTCTTCAACATTGTGTTTTGTGGATGTCCCAGCAAGACCTCAAGGCATCATCACTGCAGCTGCACAACAATACAGTATACTGACTTCTGACCACCCTGTGGTAACAAAAGAACTGGAACCAAAGTGAATCAGACATTTATTTTATAGCTCAACTTGGTAACCATAATTTGCTTAAATTACTTCATAGGTTTATGAATCTTTGCAATGGCAGTGTACTGTAAACAGTTTCACAACAAGCACCCTATATATACATATGTATATTAGATTACATTACACAATCCCATGTTATCACATATTTAACCCAACATGTTTTACAAAGGTGTCAAAAATGACAAGCATTAGCATTTTATGCAATTTTACCAAAGTATGATCATTTGAATTAAATCAAGTTTCATAGAATCTGGTTCTTTCATTTTCTCTCATTTTGAAGTATTTTGAACATTTTTAAAATTGGTAAAACAGTAAACACAACACAGAAAAAGTACATGTGTGTGAAGGCGTTCGTGTGCTTGTGGGTGTATAAATATTGCTCTCCATTGTCCCCTTGGGCCACCGCACACTGCCGATGTGGCTGAAATCCACTGCACACTTGCGCTGCAGGGTTCTATCACGATATTTTGCAGCAATTCAAAACATGAATCACAGTTGCGCAAAGTGGTAATGTTGCAAATTATAGAAAATCAAAATACACTGAAGCTTTCACACGGACAAAAAAAAAACATTTTTTTTAGGTTTAAGTTTGCAAGATCCAGCTAACAAAAAGAACCACACGCGCGCGAATACACACACACACACACACACACACGCACACACACGCACACGCCCGAAGCTGAAAAAAAAAATATTTTCCTAACAGATTAATTGTATTTATTTATTTATATCTGCAAAGATTACTGACAGCAAGGATCTTAGACCTATAATTGCTTACCATTTTATATCATACAAATAAGCTTGAAAAATCAGTTGTACTGCACAACAATATATATCTGAAGTTCTGTTATGTTTGGCAAATGCCAATATACATGCCCTCGCACACTGGCTGAGAAAATTAAGTAATAAGCAGGCGGCTGCCATTTCAACAGCCCCCCCCCTCCCCCTTTTCTCTATGGGGTTCCATTGACTGACCGTAAGATTGGTAAACCACAGAGGGCTCAAGAGTTCAAATTTGGCCCATAACCGAAGCAGTGAGATAGTTTCTCTACGTATCTAATTGTTATCTGGGTTACTGGCACAATCCTTGGGGAGCCTCTTCTTCGCCTTGACGTATTTTTTAACCATCCATTTTACTTCTCTGCAGTTGCTCTCATTCATCTTGCTCGCTAAATTCTGCATCCTACTCTTTCCCTTTTCCTCCTCATATGAAATCCTTTCCTTTTTAACTGCAGCCCCCCCATGCCCCGACTAATCTCCTACGGTCACTCATAGATCTTTTAGTTCCTTCCTTTACATCTAAATTTGATCCTCCGGTTGTATTGAACCACCTCCCTCCTTCCTTCAACCCTCTCATCTTTCTCTCATCCTCACACAATTTCGTCTGCCTTCCTCCTAATGTCTTTAGGCTCACCTTGCTAAGGATGATTGTCTCTGTCCTCATAAGATAAAGGTTCAAAGTCAAGCTAAATGCATGTTTCCATATGAACAACTACGGCGGACCCCTGTATACTAGCAGTTCAGCACCGTGGATTCACCTATTTGCTGATTTTTTTTCCAATATGTTTATATCTCTGTCTCTTACACGCACACGCGCACGCACACACACACACACACACACACACACACACACACACACACACACACACACACACACACACACACACACACACACACACTTGTTGTAGCGTATTTACAAATCTAACAAACTGATATTCTAACAAGGACGGAATTAGCACATTAATATGATGTAATACAACTCAATTAAAAAAATACCTCTTTGTGCCCTGAATACATATTACAAGATCCTACACTACACCCAATCAAACATTAGAGTTTAGGTTATCAGTTTTACTTTTATTTTATCTGAACCAGATTTCTTTGAATAAACTTCTGTACGTACTTGGATGATTTGCATAGATGCACGCGCCTTTGCTCCAGCAGAGTGGGATGCAGCCATTGTTCTTCATCTGTTCTGGAGAGGGCGCTGTTCCAATCCTGGCCACAGCACCCAAACGAAATTGCTACGCACTGAAATCAGCATAAAGCCCTAAGCGCATTGATGTCCTGAACATTTGGCAACTACTGAATGAGTATTCCTTTCCTTTATATAAATGCATCCAAGACAAAGAAAAACATGCAGGAGGATGCCAAAGATAGCCGTCACTGCTGTTTAAACTTTCATTTGTAAGGAAGTGAAAATACAGAGGGGAAATTTGATTGCGTGGAGTGTCGTCCTGGTGAAGCTAGTAAACAGAGTCAATGCGTTTATCTTCTAGCCTCAATCAAGTGGCCATGAAAAAAAAAATACTCCTAAACCACTATCGAAAATGTGGTATTATTCTCTGGTGCTGTAATCCCATGGCACTTTTCAAATGAGCCGACAGCTACCAAACATCAACTGGTGCAGGTAAACTCCATCATCGCTGTTATGAAATAATCCTTGTATATGATGCTGTAACTTCACGAAGAAGAAGCTGAAACCCACTTCTTTCATTGGGAGGTCTTCTTCCCACTTCAGGTCATTCATCAGTAAAATAAATCCACAAGAAATTTCTGATTCTGATCTTCACAAAGCCGTTGTTCATCAAAATAATCAATCTTGATATGAATTCCAAAGAGTGCAGGACCACAGGAGTCAATTATGTTGCAGGATCATGATATCCATGTTTCAATACACTGACAGCTTTCAGTCTCAGGGTCCACAAAAGGTAGCCGGTTTCATGTTATCATTCCACAATGGTATCAAAAGCAGACAGTTGAGAGAACGAAGCAAAGCAAAACAGGTATCAGAGTAGAAGCAAATGTAGGGCAAAGAAGCTGCAATGAAAAGTGGAGCACAATGAGGAAGAGATGGACAGAAACAGCTGACAGCGAGGTGAGCAGGAAAAATGAAAGAGACGACGTGACTAAAGTGAGTGTGTCGCATGAGGAAAGACCAGAGAGGAAGCTCAGCTTTACATCATGCAAAGCGTCCAGGTGAATGAGGTCAAGCAGGTGTGTGATGTCACAGAACAACAAATTCACAGAGACCAAACGGATGAAGTGAAGCAAAACTATGGTGGGAGCAACAAAAGTAGAATGAACGGGTGTCCAAAATGTTGCAGAAATGGGTTGAGGAGGAATGTCACAGGCGGGTGATCCAATTCCGAGTCAGGCACTGTTCCGTAGCAGCAGAGATCCCAACATCGCTTCAAAGGCTGCTGCTGCTGATCACGAGTGCAGTGCGCATGCAGTGAAGTGCTTCAGCTGTGAGTGCAGGAGCATTTGTGTGTGTGTGTGTGTGTGTGTGTGTGTGTGTGTGTGTGTGTGTGTGTGTGTGTGTGTGTGTGTGTGTGTGCTTAAGCTTGAGAAAAGGGGTTTACATATGCAAAAGCGGGAGCGTGTGACTGCAGATAAACATGTAGGTGACAGCAAGGGGGAGATTTGTTTGAGACCAAGCAAGTATGAGTCGACGAGATAACCAAAGGGAGCGTGTAAGGGTGCAACACGCTCTGTTATGTCTTCAGTGAACGCTGCAGTATAAATAGTTGGTCACGGGCAAGATGTGTGTGCGTGGGTTTGAGTGGTGTTGGGAGAGCTTGGCATTGAGTGAAACACCACAAGAGTAATAAGAATAGATGCTAAAATATAAATAGGGTCACCCACTAACTTGGATAAATACACAGAATGATTTTAGCAGGTTCACATATTAGCCACTAATTTATTCTAAACATACATTAACTTCTTTGATTCTTATTTTATTTTTGTGTGTTTTTGTACGGTTAAATCCCGTTTGGATCTCCGTCATCTGAAAATGATACAAATGGGTTGGGGTTTTTTTTTCCCTTCTCAACAGTTGCTTACATATAGCTTGCGTTGGTCTTTTATGCATTTGACCCTGTTTATGCTCGCCCTCTCCTGCGCTCACATCAGATGCAATTCTTTTAATATTTAATTGTGGTTTTCATGGCTAACTTGCCATCTATCCAAGCAGCAACACTGGAAAAGAACCATCTGGCTAACAACGGCCTATTGTGATGCTGAAAAATTTCCCGTTGAAGTAAACAACCCTCTGGCTTGTTTTTTTTAATTATGAGAAATACATTAATACAGTTCTTTCTATTGTACAGTTGTTATGTTCTTTATTTGCAGGCAACCTTCCAAGTCTTGTGATAGAAAATTCCATCCATAGTGTCTCTAATTAAATTTCTAAGCGGCCATGGACTGATGTGAATTACACTGGTTGGTTTGTCAGATAATACAATTACTATGAATATTTGTATCTCACACGCAAAAATGTTATTGGTCATCATTGCCAAATGTTAAATAATTATTTTTTCATGAGTTAAAGTCAATAACCTTTTTAGCACATTTTCAATTACTTTTAATGTTATCTTGGTATGTTTCCATTCACGGACTGGTTGAGCTAAGTAGTCTTGCGATGTGCAAAGATTATCGAGGCAGACGAAGGCCAAATATTGAAAAACAAACCAACAAAAAAAATTAAAATTTTCAAGGCGGCCTTTTCAAGACAAACAGGACATTGTGAAGATAGGTCAGACAACATGATCACTGGCTGGCTTGTTTCAACCCAGAAAAAGATTTATTTGCCACTTCCAGAGCAGACAGCTATCTTACAGCAGGAACAAAGAAAGTATCGGATGTGCTTTTTTTTTTCACCTACAAGGAGTTCATTTACATTTTTGTTTCATGTTACTAGATATAAATTGTAGTGTAGATGTTTGTAGTTGCTTGGAGGAAGATAAATAATTACATAATGGTATTAAAATACTTTTTTTTAACCGATAAGGAATTAAATTACATTTTTGTATCATGTTCCTAGATATATATTGTAGCATAGATGTTTGGAATTGCTTGGAGGAAGATAAATAATTATAAAGGGATTCAAATACATGAAATGCCTCCATCTCTCACTCTGTCATGTTCTGCAATGTTATTTTGCATTTCTGCATATTATTTTGTAAAATTCCAACAAGGGGTAGGTTAGATCACTTAAATCCCCACTGAAGCCCCAGGTCTGAAATGCACCACCCACTACTGATTAGTATAATCCAATTGGTATAATCAGGTATTACTGTATCAATGTTCAAATAGTTGATATAATTTAGGAAATCTGTGTTTTATTTTTCATTCTTGCAGGTAAACAAATTTACCCTGTCTTAACCCCTGACATGAGTATTTTGGCCTGTTTAACTGCCTCTTCTCCTTTCCTCCTCCTCCCTTTTTTGTTTCATGGGCTTTTGACTTTTTCCGTGCCCGAATGGATTCGTCAAAAGCAAGGGATGTCATTGATTTTTGTCAACTGTGTAGGCCAGTGAAGTCCTTTGAGACTCTTTTGTGAGTAGTGGCTATATGAATAAAGTGACTTAACAAAATAAGACAATTATATCTTTTTTACATTTGCTCAAGCCCATTTGCAAAAAACATGACTGTAAGATGAATGGATTTTCACACCTAAATTGTGTCCTGAGAGAGTTATAGTCATAAATGCTATGGCTAGAAGGCACAGTATTCTCAAGGTTGAACTTGTCACAGCCATTGTATTCCAAAGCAGCAAGAGTGCATCATCTCATCAAGTTACAGGCCACAACACTGACGTCAGCCAGAGAACAAATATCCCGCTGACGTTTTACAAGTATATGTTCAGAAATGTGATTTATTTTCGAAATCTTCTCCAGCATCATATACACGCCCTTGCAAAAGTATTGGAACAGTGAGACCAATTCCTTTATTTCTGCTGTAGACCAGAAATATGTTTGTTTGACAGTGAAAGCTGAATATGAGCAAAGAAATCAATGTTCAGGTTTACTCCCAATGTGCTTGTATTGGGATCAAACACACAACTTGGAAGGTGGCATTTTTTGTTTGAATCTACCCATTTATCATGTGAGCTAAAGTATTGTAACATGTGACTGACAATTGTGTCTTGCTCTCCAAATGTGGTCTGTTAGGTAGCACGAAATGTCACAGATTTTGATTTGTGATTTGCCAATAGACTACATTAATACTAGTTATACAAGCGAAGCCAAGATTAAAACAAGGGAGCTGTCTACATTGCATTGCCCATTGCCAACCACTTTTAATGTCCTGAAGAAAAATTAAATCATTGGTGTAGACACCGAACACAACCGAAGTAAATAGCAGCAGTTGATGATAGAAACATCAGGAGAGCAGTACGGAAAGCACCCAAAACGACAGTGACATCGGCAACAACCTCCTACGTCACTGTTATTCAACCAGGGGTATGTGACGCAAATGACTCATTTGCAAGATGAATAGGAAGGCCACAAAGTACAGAGACAAGCCTCAAGAATTGTGAGATGGGCTGATGAGACTAAGATGAACCGTTACGCAAGTTTTGGAAAGGGTTAACGTTTGGCAAAAGAAAGGATCAACTCATGATTCCAAAAATTCAAGCTCATGTGAAACTCCATGGAGGTTTATGTCCTGGCTTTGGCTTTCATGGCTTCTTGGGGGACAGGCCCATAATCTTCACTGGTACAGGAAAATTAACTTTTTGATGTCCTTTCATCAAATTTGCAAGATAATTTGGGTTGAAAACGCTGAGAATGCCCTTTTGTCAAGCTATTCCAGTTGGTCAAAAATGCCTCGCATCCTGAATGGAGCAATTTCTCAGTAATATTCAGTATGTAAGTAAGCTTTGCCCTGATTGGACAGCTACTTGGTAGATGGAGAAATCGCAATGTCTTTTGACAGCACCAAGTGATGGCGACTCATACTACTAGCATGTTGAGAGATGAACTGATGATTTCGAGTCTCATATTTAATTTTTGGTGCCAAACCCAATTTTTTTTTTCAGTTGATGGCAAAAACAAAGGCATTGTCCTCTGTGTGATGACACCTTTAGAGGAGAGTGTATTTCCAGTTCCAAATACCGGTATACAATATGTGACTGAAGTACAGTTATCTAGTGACTGCTAAGGGAGGCTTACAACTCATGAAGTCTCTAGCTTTATACCATAACTAAATCCATGTTAGGACAAAATAAACACAAGAAAAAGCTCTTAAGGCAAGAACTTGCAGTTCCCTAAGGAAAAAGTCTATCCATCCATTTTCACCACCGCTTATCCTGAACAGGGTCGCAGGGGGTTGCTGGAGCCTATGCCAGGTGATGTCGGGGGGAAGGTGGACTACACCCTGACTGGTTGCCAGTCAGTCGCAGGGCATACATAGAGACAAACAACCATTCACAGCTACATCAATAACGTCACGGACTGGGAACCAATCCCACAAAGTCCACACACAAGTCAGGCGAGTGTACCACGAGACCAGGGGTGCCCAACCTTTTTTGACCAAAGATCTACTTTTCGATCAACCAACATCCCGTGATCGACCAATTACCGCCCACGCACGCATACGCACGAATTTACATAGGCATGGCATAATGAGCAACAGCCATAACGGCCCTTAAGATGAACGAAACAGAAAAATAAAGTAGACACAAACGTTTGTGAGTTTGTGAAAAGCGAATCACTGCCTGTCTTAGTAGAGACCTGACGCGGAGGCATGGGATGCACTTTTGCAGCGTGAAAACTAACGTAGCTCACGTGTAGCATTTTAAAATGCTTCTCTCTGCACTCCAGATTCTCATTCTTTGCCCGTGCCCTCGGTGAATTGTACATGAAACAAACTCTGAATGAGAACAACAATAATAATAAGCGATATCGCGCAACAGTTCTGATCGCGAGCTGCACTTCCAGACTGCTGACCGCTAACAACTTCCAGTGATGCAGGTCACACACCACCGTAGGTTAAAGGTGACCTGCTTTTTAATTTAATTTAATTTTTAAAATATTTTTTGTCAAAGTGAGAGTGATCGGATGCTAAGGGTGCAGTGTGCACTAACACAAAAATATATCATATTAATAATACGCACACAATGCACACAGACACACAAATGTTTTGGTGTGTTTTTTTGTTTTTTTTTCCCAAGCTACCGGTCGATCGCCATCGACATATTAGGCACCCCTGCACTAGGCTATCAGTGACCTCAGAAAATGTGTGGAAGGCAAATCTATGGCAAAGAGATATTGGGTGAGCTTGAATGAAAAAGACAAATGATTTCAAGGAAGCCCATAGCATTCCTTCCAAACGGAAGCTTAGCAAGTGCTGTCTCTTGGCACATATGATTCTTTGGTTGAAGTAGTATTTATTATACTACTTCAGTTGGTTAACAATTAAATGAAT